ACGGAATACGTGCACGAAGAAATCTCGGAGCTTGGGTGCCAAGTTGTATCCGGCCGAAGCCTCTAGCATTAGAACACCTAGCTCAGAAACCAGAGGGTGGTGACTCCCTTTGGGTACCTCTGCATGCTACACAGGTCATCGATGCCCGAACATCAGGGTTAGGGGGTGACCCAAGAAGTCTCCTCTCTTGGGGAAGGCCGCGCCGCGCTCTGGAGTCATCTTAAGCCGGGGATCCACACCGACAAAAACACTGTTAACCAACTGCATCGGCTAACGAAATTCACTAATGTTGAATTAGGAAATTTTATTAACCAACACAGAGAGCTAACAATGCTCGTGTGAGTGGGGAAGGAGTGTGTGGTGTTGTAGTATTAATATAACGCGCCTAAAAAAAGAAAAAAATATTGGAATACAACAATATATAAATAGGTATATTTATTTTAAATATGAAAAAGAAGATGCTCCATTTATAACTCAGCAATATTTTATAAGATTTCTCCTTGATTATTATACCAAAAATGTCAAAAATATAAAGATGTTAGATATGTGACATAGAAAAAAGGGATATAAATTTGATGAATATGGTCAAAATCCAAAGAATTTTTCCATGATGTAACACATAAAAAAATAAAAATACACAAGGAGTTTTTAGAGTTGTAACATATATTATTTAGAGCTAAAGTTAAACCTACAGTGTTTCAAATAAATAAAAAAATATTAAAGTTATATTTTTTTTAACAATGAGACATCCTATATATATTATTACATTTTTAGTTTCTACTATGAAGACACAAAAACATTCTATCAAAATTTACCTCAAAATCATACTGACTGTTTTTGAAATATTTTAATTTTTATAAGAATTCAGTAACAATTGATTTATTTCTTCAATGCAAATTTACAACTAATACTGAATTAGCAAAAATCATTTGTCAACATTAATACTATTTTTTGACATGTAATGTTACATAACGCGCTTTAAAAGAGAAATATATTTTAAAATAGAAAATGCTGAAACCTAATATATGTAGGATTCTTAAATAAAAAAAATACGTAATAAAATTCCTAATGAACCTATATACCTATTTAAAACGTAAATACAAAAAACCTATATACTCATTCAAAATATTGTTAAAATGCGCATATTATATTTTTAAAAATAAAGAAAACTCCAAGTATGTCCTATAAAAAGAAATTTAAATTAAAAATAGCAATTTAGAAAAAATCAAGACATCGAATTCCAACAGGCGGCCATTTTATTTAAACATTCCTTGACCAAAAAAATTAAACAAAAAATCAAAGATACATTACGTAATTTATCAAAAATGTAGTACTATTTTACTCTTATGTAACACGCAGTATAGAAAGTACCAAAAATACCTAGTTTTACATACTTATTTATTAATCTACGTATATTATTTAAACAGTATTCTTAAAAATTAATAACTTAATGGGGAACATTGAGAAGAAGGCAGCCATGATGGATATTGCGAAATCCAAAAATTTTAAACTAAAATATCCCAAAAAATACATAAAATTATGGGTACTCACTTTTTCAGGAGGCTAAGCAGGGCACTAGTAACAGATTACGCATAAATTGTGTACACTAAACGCACTTTTTCGTGAGAAAATTAAAAAATCCATGCAACCAACGGGAGGACGTGCGGATCCTTCGATTGCAAACGGCAAAAGGAGGACCCAGGAGGACCGGCGTTGCCAGATTGAAATCATTCGTAAAATTTAAGCTGCTCATAAAATTAATTTATTTATTACTAATAAAATTGTTTATAGGAAAATTCTTCTAAATTAAGCTTAATTTTGTTCTCAAAAGTTATTATTTACTTAATACGTTCCACTGATATCGTTTTTTTACGTAAGGTAAAATATTTATTGTCATAAATAAGAAACAAATAAGTAATTATAAACATAAACACACAAATTTCATGAAATAAACATAAAATGAAGCTGTTTAAATACATTTTTAATGCTATAAATACATCGAAACCAAGAATAAAGACTATATAATGTTAGTACGTAATTACAAGAAGAAATAAAAGAAATTTCTACAAAACACCATTACTGGTACTTGTTTTATTAAAAATATATAGAATTGGCCCTTACTATAGTGCTAGTGATCAATTTAAACTAATATAATTTCACAAAAATCATAGAAAAAAAAAATTTCGACATTTTTTAACAATCCGGCAACATCGAACGAGAATGAAATTCAAAATCTCCACGCCACCGAAATTGACCAATCACGATCGTGTATTTTTTGCTCTTGGATGCCTGGATTTTAACTTTTTTTAATAAACATGGATGGTTTTTATTACAATTTCAGTAGAATATGCTTCTTAAATTAACTAAATGATTTGTGTTTATTTGTATTTATTCCCTCCAGTATAAAATATCATATAAAACTTATTTTATATTAAAATTATCTGGTACGCACATAATTAGATGAACTATAAAATCATGCATTTCTTTAATATTTTAATAAATTGTTAAGAAACAAGTGTTTTTATTCAATAAACATCCCTTAGTTTAATATGAAACTAATTCTATATAGTTAAATAGTAAGAAATATGAGATAAATTATATAAAAAATAATCTCAAAAGTCTTTAACTTGACTCAACGTTGACAGCTCTTACCGGATGTATCTGTTCAACTTTTGGCGTCACAATGTTCAAATTTGAAATTTAATTAAGCTGAAAAATCTTTTATTTACAAGAAAAAATATAAAAAAATATATTAATAAGTACAAATTAGGATAAAAAGCATTTATTACTTAGGACAACTATATATTCCAATACTTTTGTCTTCTGAAACTGATAAAATTTTCGAATTATCCGGAACTGAATTTTACTCCCCAAACGTGCAATGTTTTTTTAGATAAAATATCATTACTTAAAAACAAATCTTATTTAAAAATGGTTATATCCCTCAATTTTTTTTTTAATAAAATATTATATTTAAAAAAAAGGTGTGAATACACTCTGTCGGCTTTGAACTTCCCATACTTTAACCGTCTTGTCTAAACTGGCAGACACAAAATACTTTCTATCTGGTGAAAATGCCACATTTAAAACCCAAGAGGCATGAGCAGATATCGTTCCAATTACATGGGTCTGTTTTCTGTCAAAAAAATTAGATAAAACCGAGTTACAAAGGCTACGTTTAACTAATTTTTAACTTACACATCATATAATTTCATATGCCCATCGTCAGAGGCTGTTAATAATAGCTGATAACACAGATACCTTATTGGCATATGGCATAACGTGACTCTCTAGAGTGTGCCATAATTTGTTAGCAGCAACATCAAAAATGGTTCACTCACGTAAGCAATGCTGAGTAAATTTTCCTCTGGTGTCAAATGACTGTTTTCTACCGCTGCGGTTTCAACGCTATACTGAGTGATTTTGCCCGAGTGGCTTCCAAAAATGATGTGTTTATCGTCCGGACTGAACGCAACCGTCCAGAGATCTACAGGTCCCACATCAATATTAGCAATTTTTTCTTATTTTCCTAGGTCCCATATTCTCATTGACGAATCTAATGAGCTCGAGCAACCACACTAAAAGCAATAATATTAAACAAAACTTTATCTGTGTATAGACCATGTATAGACCTAATTAGTACTTACATTTTCCATTGTGACTCATGGCAACTTAGCTTCACAATCTCCATTATCCTTCTTACCTTAATTTTTGATATCAAGATAAATCTGAAACTATAAAATTAATTATAGAATTTGTATTATTACTGATTGACACTCAAAAAACATTTAAATTGCGAATCATAAAATCTGTGAAAATAAACTGCAATTTGGCAAAATCGCCGATGTGCGCTAGCGTAGTATCCATGATCAACTGCAGCAAATATGGGCTTCAAGGTCAGGCACCGGATTGATTCAGATTAGTTTCAGGATTTCGCTAATATCTTGGCAACATTGGAAAAAATTTAGTTCCAAATTTTCACACTTTTTCCACATTGGCGCTACGAGCGCTCTTCTTCTTTTTCGTTTTTTAGGTTTTAAAAGAACCGTAACCACAGAATAAAAGTAACAGTCTTCTTCTTTTTAAAATTGATGGCCTGAAACATAAAGCATCTACAGATCCAGCTTATATTTTCTCTTCTTTAATTTTACATGGCTTGAACTCATTCAGGTCATTTAGCCAGTGTCCTGAAAAAAAGAAGAAAGTCTAAAAGGACAGCAACCGTAATTAAAAAATTAAAATAAAAAATACTTTTATCAAATCTTTTTCATTTACAATGTGATTTACAACAAAGGTTTACAAGGTAAAGAATCCAAACGTAATATATCAAAAACGTTCAGGATTCAATAAAAAGTATTCACACTAGTTTTATCGTGTCCTACATACCCTAATGTTGCATTATTAGTCAAGACTTTAACAGAATAGGGAATTCAAACAGTTTTCAAAAACAATCCGAATTAACATTGCACCATGCAAATGTAATCTCTGTTGTATAGAGAATATGACTAGAAATACTGAATCACAATTCCCTAAAATGGAATATTGTAAAGGGACGAAAAACGCTCTTAATGATTTATACAGACAGGACATGTACGAATTCTTAGAACACTTACAAAATATCTAGAATACACTAAGAAAATTTATTTATTCTAGGTATAATTAATAATAATTTTATTAATCAACCTGGGAGCATATCGAAGATTATGGTTGAATTGAAATACAGTTACAAAAACTCCTTGTTCTAAGCATTAAAGCATCCAAAACTATACAGTTCCATGAAATGAAATCAAGGTTTTGAAGTCTTAGGAGAATAGCAGTAAAATAAACAATAATACACATAAAATAAGAGAGATGTAGAAATACAATCAATATAGAAGAAAAATATTAAAGACGTTGGCTTCGTTTGATAGCATATCTCTTAAAGAAAAGTGAAACTTTGTAAAACGAATGAATAAAATAAAGAAATGTTGGATAAAGTTAGATAAAACAATAAAAGTTTGCATTTAAAGAGCATCTTTAATTAATATATTCTCTATCAACATACAGAAACGCTCATGATATAAAAACAACGCCCGAATAGTGTATTTAAACTTTTTTTTCGTTACTCACCCCTCATTTTAATACTATGTTAGCATTTGTCTTTAAATAATTTACGTAATAATCGTCTCGAACATTATTACTGAATATAATTTAGAAATACATAAACACTTAGAACACTGACACCTCCTATATAATCCGTAAAACCTTAAAAAACCTTATTTTTTTATGTAAACACATAATCTGACTCTATATTTATGTCCCACGGTACAGTGAACATCTCACTGGGCAAACTCACACAGTGGGTCGATTTGAAATCTTTCATGTATTTGCTGGCCTAAAAAAAAATAATTTAACATTAAAAAATGAAGGTGAATATAAAAAAGGCTGTACCAAAAATAAGGCCATTTGAGACTTCTCCATTATACCGAAACCTTCGCCAACTTTCATTGGATAAGATTTCGAATACTCTGATATGTAAGACTGTAACAAAGATACAGATACATTCTCATCAACGTTATATTTTTCTAGGATCCTTTCTGAAATATAGTCACGTTAAAATCAGAAAAATATACAGGGAATTTAAATTTCAACCTTGTTTGACTCCGGTCACTGATAAATACTCGTTCAAAAGTTCAATTTGAGGCTCCTCAAATATACAGGGATATCGGTATTTCAGGAGTTTTACCAGTAAATTATTGCCTCTGTTTGACAACAAATCATTTTCTCTATAAAATATTAATTTTCAATTATTCAAAAATAACAAAAAAACTATATTAAATCGTACTTTAAACATATAACTTCATCTTCTGTCCGTCGAATTAGTTGTATCGGCCCTGGATACTTGTATAACTGTTCGTAAACATTAAGATTTACGTGCTCTCTAATAGCCAATTTAACTATAGGCTCCCACCATTTTGGCATATGATTCAGAGCCAGTGGTAAAATGTCATCAAATGTTGCATCTATTACCTTAAAATACACACAAATCAGTACATTTTAGAGTAATTACCCTATTAAAAAAAAAACCTTACCACTCCTTTTATTTCTGGGTAATTCATAGCAGCCCATGAAGTACTATATCCCCCGATACTCCAACCAAAAACTATTATATTTTGTACCTTAAATCCCAGTTTGTTTATAGCAAACTGTACCACTGTATCTATGGCATTTTGTTCTTGTGATGGATATGGCATGCCCTGTTAAAAACACAAAAAAAAAACAATTTTATTTGTTTGGATAAAGTTCAAACTTACAGTACTGCCACCAAATCCTGGATGGTTCCATCCCAACACTGAGTACCCTGCTTCAATTGGTGTGATCATAGTACCGATTTCATAAAACCCTGCATTTCCCTCGCAGCAAATCACTAAAGTGTTACCATTGTGCGATGTGTTTCTTTTATCAATAAACATACTGTCAATATCATTGTCGTCTAGTGTTCTTAGCTTAAATCTTTCACCTCTGTATGAGTCTACAAGTCTTGACCTGCCCTGTAGTAAACTGGCCTCTAAAATTTAATAAATTTAAGAAAAATAGAGGAAATAATATATTTCACTCACCAAGGACAGCTTGAAGTAGTCCTACACTTCCTGGATAAATTAAACGAATACCGAAAGTGTGAATGGCAAAATAAGCTATTATTCGGAAAGGTATATTGGTAATGTATTGAAAAGTGTTCTGGTATAACACAGGCTGTTGAATGTGAACTTTGTTCCTCGTTCCACTTAAAAAAACTCGTTAAAACAACAAAGACAATAGTTTTTAATAGAACTTACGTCATAATTTCACTCAAATCGTACTCCACAGGCCAAGCAGTGAAATCAAAATCGTATTTGATCAAATCTTTCTTTGATTCTGCAATATTAGCTTCAGATCTGTGGAGAACTTCGAGGAATTTCTGGTAGGTGGAATTCTGAGCCCTGCTGAAGCCTCTGATACAGAAGGAGACCACCAAAATGACTCCAACTCCGGCAACAAACTTCGATAAAAAAGCTAAACCTTGTGTTTCAAAGTAGCCTTTGTTATACAGCATTATGCCCCACAAGGGGGACGTGTAAACGCCCAACTTCCAGATAATATACAACTGTAGCGAAAGAATAATTTATAAGCTAGGTATATTTGAAATTAATCGAAAAAACTTACAGAATGAATGACCTGATCTCCAAATCTTTCCATCGGTTGTGGCTCGTAAAATCTCTGAAAATTAGATAATTTAAGACGGCTTGAATAATATTTGTGAATAATTATACCTCGACGGGTCCATTTCCGTAAATTTTGAGTAATTTTGGAGAAAACATACAATTCCAAATATTTTTTAATGTTGACATTTTGACAATTTGTGAATAAAGTTGGGTTAGTGATAAAAATATCAACTTTTCTTCTTTTAGAAAGTATGGTACAATAGTCACAATAGTTTTCGAAAGTTTGGTAGTTAAAAACGAAAAATAAATGGGGAGGAAGAATTACTAGCTAACCTAAATTTTAATTGTCAAAGTCAAAAATTTGTATAAAAATTTAAAAAAGAATCCAAATTATTTTGGAAACTTTGCCAAATTCGTCAGTATTGGCAGTATTTTAGTTTAGTTTATAACAATGTTACCTTCGTTACGATTTTTAGGAAATGGCATGGTAAGGCGTCAATGGACAATGTAATAATTACATAACAAACCAAAATATCAATTTCTAGAGATCCCTAGGCTTGAGGAGTCTTCAGACTTCTTCAGCTCTACGACATGACTCGTTATTCGTTCATAGAGATACCCCGGAGGATAATCTGGACATTCCTTTTGAATTTACAGAAGATAATAAAAAAGTAAATACATAACATCATATTACAACTATACTACTAAAATACTTTCAGAGAATTGATGCTATCTTGGCCATATACCCTGAGGGACACAAACGGGGGGCCATGATCCCTATATTAGACCTAGCTCAAAGACAACACGGCTGGCTCCCTATATCTGCCATGCATAAAGTTGCAAATATACTAAACTTGCCTTATATGAGAGTGTATGAAGTTGCCACCTTTTACACAATGTTCATAAGGTATAAACTAACTTATATTGAAATAACCACAATAAAATTATAATATATTTGTAGAAAACCTACAGGAAAGTTCCATGTCCAAATCTGCACCACCACTCCCTGTTGGTTAAGAGGATCTGACGAAATCTTAGACACAATTAAGAAAAATCTGTGCTTAGAAGTGGGCGAGACAAGTAAAGACAAGCTATTTACTTTATCAGAAGTTGAATGTTTGGGAGCCTGTGTAAATGCACCCATGGTACAAATCAATGATGACTATTATGTGAGTAAAAATAATTTTTTTTTGTATTTCCAATAAGATTATTTGTTTTTTAGGAAGATTTAACTGTGCAGGACACAGAACAAATTTTAAAAGAGCTCAAAGCTGGAGGAAAACCAAAACCAGGACCAAGAAGTGGCAGATTCGCTGCCGAACCTCTGGGGAATCCCACTTCGCTTAAGGGAGAACCAACAGGACCAGGTTTTGGAGTTAGAGCCGATTTGTAAATAAAATAAACTTGTTTTGAACAAGTTAACACGTGAAAAGTTATTTATAATAAAGATAATAAAAATATCTTTGTTCTTTTATTACTTATCCTAGTTTTATTGGATAGAATAAAGGAATTTTTCAATGCACAAACTCTTTTATTAAAAGCCATATGACATGAAATGGTATTAGTTAATAATAGAGTATATTAGAAGGTTAATTTCAATGTTCCTTATCTATTTACAAGCATTATTCGACTTGTAAATAAACAAGCAACATTTTTTAATACTAATTCAATACAAATACTTAAAATAAATACACGAAAGTCTCAAAAGCTCAAAAAATATAAAATCTCTTTAATCAAACAATCCCACAACTTGCGAATATTTTAAAATTATTTTAAAGCAACTAAATTAACTGTAGTAAATAAAAAAAAAGTTTTTTGAAGGTCCTGAAATCAATTTTTAAATTAAAAAAAAAAACTTAAAATGATTTTGTTCATTTCCAAACTATATACATACTGATATGACATGTATATAACTTTTTTTTCCTCCACAACCCCAATGATTAGATGTAGTTTTATATTTAATATATAAAGGTATAAATACACGGTACAATAATAATGCTACCAAGTGATTAAAAATTAAAACAAAATTCGCTACGCGTCTAGATAAAAGAAAAATTTCTGAATCACCTGGTTTGTTCACTTAGTTATGCGAAAAAACGCGTACAAATCTACAAAATTTCTCGTTATTGTAGTTTTATCATTTTATTATCTACGTTTTATCAAATCGCTAATTTCTTTTAAGAAACAATCTTATTTAATTAAAAAAAAAACGTTTCTAGAAGACATTTTATTTAAGCATTTTATTTTAACTCTCCCATTAAAAAAATCCCACAGCAAACGACTAAAAAATTATATTAAAATCAGGAAAGGGCATTAACGCGTCTCATAGAGTTTTTTTACATTTAAAATGTAATAAAAATAAAAAAAAAATCTTACCAAATAACTACTAATTCATATTGTTTTTGACTAAATATTCCATTTTCTAGATCAAATAAAAATAATAAAGCTGCTTTAATAACCTGGAAAAACTATTTTTTTTACAGTTAAAAATTATTTTTTTACGTTAAAATTCTTTCCTCCCATGTCCCTGATTAAAATACCTCTATAAAATTGTATTAAAATCAGGGATGGGTATTAATGTAAGCGTCTCTTAAGGTTTTAAATTTTTGGTCAAAAATACACGTAAAAATATTTAAAAAAAAACTAATAAAGACATTTTTCTTTCATCTCAACATAAAATTTATATTGTTTTCAACTGAATTTTCGATTTCTACACAAAATAAAATAAATATTATTGTTAAATCACCTCAAACACCGTGAAATAAATTAAAATACCTTTTTGACAAAGGTTATTAACAGATAACATCGTTTTTGGAGGAGACCGAGGAGCTTTAATCTCCTAAAAACTAGTTTTATACGTGTAAATTAATTACATGTAAAAAATTAGTTTTTTACGTTCGCGTTTTTCCTTTACCCATCCCTGATCAAAAAATGTCTTTTAGAAACGATCAATATTGCATATTGAAAGAGTCTTTTAGCTTTTTAACCTTTGTTCTCGACAATTTCAGTGTGCAAAGTCTTATTGGGCGTGATTTTAGTTCGGTACTGCTCTGGTACGGCGATTTCTACGTAATCGTCCCCTTTAGGTATTAAAACGTTCATCTCTGACGATTTTGAACTGATTATTTCGACGTCTAACGAGTCATTGCTCAGGTAAACTTGACATCCGTCGGTTTTATCGATTGAAATCGTAGGAACTTTGCCGAAAACTTGCATTTGTACCGACTGACAGTTAATGAACTCCATGGACGATACCAAATTGTCGAAAACTATCGAGGTTTTCTTACAGGAATCCATCGTGATCGAGTTGATTTTACCTTTAACCTGTACCGTGGTGTTCTCGCATTTGAACAGGTACACCACGTTGTTCATTTCGGCGTTGTCCACCACCAAGTCCTGTCGATTCTTCTGGTACTCGATCAGCCATTTCTTGCCTTCGTGACTAAAAACGGGTGCTTTGTCGGCGGGAGCAGCTTGGGCTCCGCCAAACACCGGTTTCGAGGCGACGGGTGGCTTGAAGGGCGCCGGTCCTTGACGCAGGGCCGTGTTTTTGTGCGTTTGCATGTCGGAAGTGACTTTTTTGAGGTTTCTGGTCACGTCTTGACCGCGGTTTATTTCGGCAAATAAGGCTGATCTATCGGGACCTAGTTTATAGAGAAAAAATAGTTCATTTTAAGTATTACTTTCCTTATTCAGGGTTGGGTATATAGAAAAATTTATTCAGAGAAATTTTAAATGTTTTTGTGCAAAAAAAAATCTATTCAAACCTATTTTATCATAATTTTTTATAGAAAAATAAAATGTTTCCAAATTTCACCGAATTCTAGTAAACAAGTTTATTTCATATAAATGATGACATGTAAATTGATGACGTTTTAGCTTCAAAATATGCTAAGAACGGTTGCTCCTAGCAATTTTTTCCAGTAAGGGATTTTTTTTGCACAAAAAAACGGAGGAAATGTATTTTATTTCTCTCAGTAGTAAAATACAGGTATGGACGAAAAGTTATTACTCGTCAAAACAGTTAAAGAACATGTAGTTGGCGCCCAAGCAGGAGTCATACTAACATAGAAATCGAATTTCTCATGTAAAAAAACCTAGAAACTAATTTCCATCCAAATCAGCGTTAGTTCAGTAATTATATTGTAATTATATTACAATTCGGACCACCCTGTACATTCTACCATATTTCCTACACCTAGAAAATTAATTTTCTACATTATCTGCATGAATCTTTGGCATGAATAGACGTAGAAAATTCACGCGCACAAGCATTACAGATATAAAATTTTAAGAATACATCCAGGAAGAAACTTCAAAAAGTAAAAACACCGCTTTAAAAAATATAAAAAAATTAAATTTCTATGTGTCTTTACCCAACCCTTTCCCTATATTCCTCTAATTCATCAATAAAAACGATTTTTCTTTATTGCGTTTCTTTGATTTAACCTTATTTATCAAACTAGAACAAAAAAAAAATAAAACCACAAATACCTGCATCACCTGCAGCTGCCGTAGAGAAATCTATAACCGGAGGAGGTGGAGGACATCCAGGAGGTGGTGGAGGAGCTCCACCTGTCTTAATGGCTCCTTTCCCAGACCACACTAGCCCTGTCGTATGATACTGCTTCACGAAAGCTTGCAAATCTACAAAAATTATATGTGTCAATTAATAATATTTTATTTTGACAAAACTGTTTATAACCTACCTGAAAGTGTTTGTATCCAAGTTTTAACCCAGTCTACATGTCTCTTATCTTTTTCCCTGAAATCTTTCAGTACTCTGTTAGTGTAGAACTGTCCGGCATCATTCATTTCCTTCACGTAAGGCGATGGAGCTGGACTTACCGTAACCCATCCCAGTGCAGGGATGCTGGCACTGATAGCAGCCAAGTGATTGAAGAAGGGCGACGTCCTGTGCTTCTCGCTGAACTCCTGAATAGCACCGATTTTATCGCTGGTCGGTTTCAGCAGGTTCACAACGTCTGCTTGTCCTGGTTGAGCGGATTCGGCCGCCAGCTGTATGTACTGCAGCTGGGCGTTGAACGCCCCTTGTACCAAGCGCGAATGCTCGGCCACATCGCCTCCCAGTTCCTGCGAAATGCGAAGGTACTGTGCGAGAGGGCCCTGGATGATATCGGTGTACCCGTAAACGCTCATAGTTGTTCGAGTGAACGCCCAAATCGAGTTTCAAACGGTCGGTAAACTGCACAACTACTTTTGTAGAGATTTCGTCAAGTTGAGAATAGCGACAGCTGACCTAGAACGTAAGATAATTCGACTCGAGAATCTTGGAAATGATTCACTTTTTCGTCGATGAGTAAACCGTGTTTATCAAGCCGATTTTTTGACGTTTTGGATGATATAAATAAAAATGAGGTTAACTCTCCTTGACGTCTATCGACGCCTCGGATTTTTTATATAAAATTAACGAATTTGAAGAGTTTTTAACTATTATTTCTTTGAAAAATTACCTGCCTATTTTATATCATGTTCTTCTATTCCATTTCTGCAATTAATATTGATTTAATAGAAATTTCCGTATATTTTAAAACTAAATATTTCGACATTTTTAAATTACTATTAAGTGTCAAATGTCACCCTAAATATTCAATATTATTAATCTGTGGTCAATGTTTGGCGCCAAATCCCCTAAGCAGTTGATTTGTTTCAACTTGTATTGTTAATTATTCGTTTTATTTAAATTGCAACTACCAGAATATCAAAAATGAAGATTGATTTATCTGAAGGATGCTTTAAGGTACTCACATATTCAACGCTGTAATTTGTGCTACAATTTGCGTAATATTATTTAAGGTAATCATGACCGGAGGAGAGGTACAAGAACCCATCGTTCAAGTTGTAACTCTGAAAAAAATGAGTACCGCTTCTGGCCAGGAACGGTACCGTGCCTGCCTTTCCGACGGGAAATACATGATCACCGTTGCAATGATTACAGCTCCAGTTGTAGATAAAACTAGTGAAAAGGGCATTCCAAAATATTCCGTGATCAAACTCAAGCGTTACATTACAACCGTTATCAATAATACCAACACGTCTAACAATAAAGCTGACGGAGGGTATAGCTTAAAGACACAAATTTTAGTTGTTAATTTTAATATATTTCATATTTTTAGTCGAGTTTTGCTGATGCTTGATGTAGAACTAGTGCAAGACGGTGACGAAATTGGCGAGGTCATTGGCAATCCGGTATCATATTCTGTAGCTACGGCACAAGAGACCAGAGAAGGCTCTCCCCCAGCTAAAATGCGAAAACTAAACGGTCCATCGAATTCTTCAAACACTAATGGAGAATCAAGTCATCAAGATCTTAACAAGAGCATGGCTGGACAAATGACCCATCCAATAACCTGTCTGAATCCTTACAATAACAAGTAAGGTGTTATTATTTACTTGTACAGTTTGTTTTTAAAGTTATTTAATTTTCTAGGTGGATTATCAAGGCAAGGGTAATCAGCAAGACTCCGATAAAAACATGGTCGAATTCCAGAGGAGAGGGAAAGCTTTTTAGCATGGATTTGGTAGATGAAAGTGGTGAAATAAGACTAACAGCATTTAGAGAGCTGGTTGATAAGTTTTATGATCAAATTGAGGTACCAAAAGCTTTATTATTTTATCAAGAAATAAAATATTAGCGATATTTTAAATGTTTTAGGTGGATAAAGTTTATTATATTTCTAAATGTCAACTGAAACCAGCCAATAAGCAGTTTAGTAACCTGAAGAACGACTATGAGATGACGATGGTAAATGACACACTGATTGAGGAGTGTCATGATGATACCTCTACTGCACCCCATTTACGCTACGATTTTGTTCCAATACAAACTATTCCGGAGTTGGAAACCAACAAAATAATTGGTAATATTTATACCGAAAAAATTTGTTATTCAATTTAATTCTAAATAATTTTTTACAGATGTTATTGGTGTGGTGAAGAGTACTGGTGACCTGCAGTTCTTCAATGCAAAGAGTACCGGTCGCGAGCTTAGGAAGAAAGACTTAATACTGGTGGATAAGTCAAATGCCGCGGTATTTTTTTTTTTTGTACATTTTTTTGTGTGTTAAAATTTATCTTAACGGTTTTTAGATTACTTTAACCTTGTGGGGTGCCGATGCTGAAAGTTTTGATGGTTCTAATAATCCAGTGCTGGCAATAAAAGGGGCCCGCATCAGCGAGTTTGTCGGAGGTAAAACCTTGAGTACTCTATCGGGAACGATTGTTAAAACAAACCCAGACATGAAAGAAGCATACGTTCTAAAACAATGGTGAGTTAATGTGAGGTAGAGGATTTTAAATATATCATGGGGATTGCAATTTTTTTTTCAGACATTAGATATTTGGCCACCCTGTATGTTTTTTATTATTAATTTATAGGTTTGATTCTGAAGGAAGTTACCTGGAAGCCAATAATGTGAGTGCTAGATCAGCTGGAGGCTCAACTTTTGTTACTCCGTGGATGTGTTGCGATGAGGTAATTTTTAATAAAAAAAAATTAATAAAAAATGGATTAAATGTTCTATATTTTTACAGGTTTACGAAAGTCAGTTGGGGTCAAGTCCCGCAGGTGATTATTACCAAATGAAAGGGGCGATTTTGATGGTCAAGAGCGATAACGCGTGTTACAAGGCCTGCCCCACCCCCGAATGCAACAAAAAGGTTATCGACAACTCAAACGGAATGTACAGATGCGAAAAATGCAACCAAGAATACGAGAGCTTCAAATGGAGGTTGCTCTGTAGTGTAAGTTGACTGTAACTATTTTTTTTTCATATACATATAAACTTCTTTCTTTTTATGTTTTTTTTAGATGAACGTGGGCGACTGGAGCGCAAACCAATGGGTCAGCATGTTCAGTAGCGAAGCAGAGAAGGTTCTCGGGAAGAGCGCTGAAGAAGTAGGGGCGTTGTTTGAATCTGGTGAACCCGGTAAATATACCGAGTTCATGGAAGAAGCTCATTTCAAAGAGTTCGTCTTTAAATGCCGCGCTAAAAATGAAGTTTTTAACGTAAATTGACATAATTCAGATTAAAATGTTATAAAATAATAAATTTGGACGTTTTCAGGATGAAGGGCGGCTAAAAACTGTGGCTATCAAAGTGGACCCCGTTAACTATACAGAGTATAATACTTATCTGATAGAATGCATTAAGGAACTCACTGACGCTTCCTAAACTGATCTTTATATTTACTCTTTGTTACCTTATTCTTATATAAAAGATTAGGTTTCTAGAATAGTTTTATATATTTTTTTTTAGTATTTAGATGTGTATATTATTAAATTATTTTGAATAAACCGTTCCATTATTTTCTCATTTTATTTTTATTATTAAAAATACCAATATCTCTTAAACTACAGTAGTAAATTACATAGTAGGGCTGTCTTAAATTCTGTATTAGGTGGCACCAGCTGTAAAAGACAGAGATATCAATTAAATACATCAAAAGAACATCGAAAACAAACCTTTTGCAATACTATATAGACTGCATATAGGACCTTCTCCTGGCGTATACACCTAGACATGCTAAAATTCCTACAGCTGTTAGAGTTAAGATTATTAAAAGGGCCAAAGTATCGCCAAAATCAAACATTTTTGCCCTATTTTTACCCGATTTGTTTCTTTGTGAATCACAAGATTATTTGTTTTGACGTTTCATTAGTAAATTTCCTAACCTATAAAAATTAAATGTCATGTTTTTATCCTTCGACTATTAAAAAGAACTAGATAGAACTTTACGTTAAATATTTTGTAACCAAGATAAATCTATTACGTCATTGCAGGACAAACATTAAAAATCGATTTTTTACGTTATTCTTATTAAATTTTATTAAAAAAAAAACATTTATATATAAGTCAGAAGAGTTGGGAGTTAAATAAATCAATAATTGTTTAAAAAAATTATATTCAACAACAACAAACCTTAAAAAGTCTATTTCATTTTCTTCAATTTGATCAAATGATTCCTTAGGGCTATCTGTTTGTCCTTAAAGCTTCTCTTCACCTTTCCCTGAACCTTGTGCCTGATCATTTGGAAGTTTTTCTTTTTACTTTTCTCCCTGTTTGTTTTGGAACAGTGAATATTAACCCTTCCATCTTTATACCCGAACTTTTCCCTATCTTCCTGGCCCTTTCTAACACTCTCTACCCTTGTCTGCTTATCGTGCTTCCTTTTCTTGTATATATTCTCTATATCACCCAGTTTTACAAGATCGTCTTTATTTTTTAGGGTGTTTTCAAGCTCAATAGATCTTTTCTGACCTTTGTTGGGGCCCTGTAGGTGTTTTCTGACATTTGCCATGTCAATCCTCTTGAAATCTTCGTCCGTTAATATACGGTCAACTGTTACTTTACGCGCTAGGGATTTTTTAGCTTCCAAGTCTTCCTTTTTAGTTTTTTTAGCTTTCAAAATATTTCTTTCGCTAGTTTCATGGTCTTTCTCAACATCATCATCCATTTCTTCATCTGAATCATCTTCCTCTTCTTCTCCACTGTCAATTTCTTCGTCGTTAGAGTGCTGTACATTCACCCACTGCTCATCATCTGAGTCAGACTCACTGTTCACTTCAAACTCTTCATTATCTTTTTCTTCGTTCAGTAATACTTCAGCACCGGGTACATAGTCTTTAACATTAACCTTACCATAATCTATCTTCTCTATTTCTCCTGTAGCTTCTGTAGGTCTGCCTCTGTCTTTCTTGTGCAACAACTCGGGCCTTAGATTTCTGAATAACTGTATCAAACTTTTGGCTGCCATCATTACAGATCTATCCCTGTATGTTTTGTACTGTGCTAAATCCCTCAATAGTTCTTCAGACAAGCTCAAAGGACATCTAGCGCATATTTCTCTAACAGCATTCAGTCCTATCGCCATGACATCTGAAGAATTCCTTTCGGTAATGAAATTATTGGCGATAGTTTTTAAAACTGGTTCAATGACATCAGGAGGGACTAGCTCATGGCTTGACTGAGCTGCAAACTGTAATATTCTGGTTACTTCATGCTGATGAGGCTGCAAAAATCTCTGAATATACGAGTAGTAATTGAAAACAAATAAGTTATGAAGTCCTATAAGTCTTGAAATAACATCTAAGGTCATTAGTTTTACTTCAAACCTTTGATTTGTTGATTCCAGTTGTCTAAAAAGCTTCTCTGCCATGCCTTGAGGGTCATGCAACAAATGTATGGCACTAAAATTAAAGGTAGGTGCTTGACTTTTCTTTTTGTAGGCTTTGGCAGCTAATTTCTTAACTTTAGAAAGATTTTTTTCACGTTTTCTGGTTTTCTTATTGAATTTGTTGGCCAGCATCACTTCTTTTGGATCTACTTCATCATCAGAATCTGAGTTATCTGAGTCTTTTTCCTCTGGGTCTTTACCCAGGAAAAACTTCAGTGAAGCTACCATTACCTAAGTAATTTTAAATCAAATTTAATATTTTATTAACATATATCACAGTATTACTAATTTTACCTTTGTAATCTTTGAGAAACACCCTGTAGCAATAACATTGACTGTTTTAGCATTATTCCACACATTTTTCTTGTATAATTCAATCATAATATTAACAGACATTTTTGCAGCTCTAGAGTTTGTATCATTCAACATGGTGAACATGAAATTTTGCAATGTGGTATTGAGTTTTGCATTTTTGTGTTTCATATTTAGATTTTTTATGTCTGTTATTATGTGGTTCTCCAGAAATTGTCTCAGTGATTTGTCTTGACATCTCAAAAGTTGGAAAAACAGCTCCAAAAGATCAGTGGGAGCCAGTAAGTTTTTATTTCTCAGTAAAATCAGAGCCTTGCACAAATTCATGCGCACAGAATTATCCAGGACTGTGTTATGCTTCTGCATAATATTGATCACTTGCTGGGGAAGATCCTGCAGATCCTTTGGGTAACATTGAGCCACTTGGGCCATAAACATCACTAGCTCATCGAGGGTTTTGTTGGGCTGATTAGGTGCAAGCTGGAACACCTCAATAGTATTTTGAAAATGCTGATATTGCTGCACGAACTCTTCATGGTAGGACTGTGGGTCTTTCTTGATTAAATTCTGAAGTTGCGGTAAATTCTCTGGCAACTGGTTATTGTGTTTTCGAACCATTTTACAAGAAATTCAATGTTTACAAGAGTAAATTTGACAGATAAAGGACCCACGTGTTTTGAGGTTATCAAATCATATGTTATTAAAAAAAAGTATATGATATGAGCTATAGAACCATAAAAGTTTCAGTTTTTATGCAGCACCTCTTACAAAAAAATCTGTCAATGTCAATCAAAAAGCGGTGTTTTTTAAAATTAAGGTTGTTTAAAGTTTTTAATCGTTTTTAAATTTCCAATCTTTCAGCTATATACACAATTAATCTATAAATTATCGAAAATGAGTTCCTTTAACGTTGACTTTTTGGCTGAAGCCTTGCAAAGTACCAAAGTATCGCCGAGCGGCGTCAGTTTTGCCGGAAAATCTCTAAAATTAGACAGCGAAGACGATGGTAAAGTAACATACGAGCCCTTACTTTCACCAGCCTCTAAAAATCCCATTTTTTTACATAGCCAAAGACGTAGTCGAAGAAATTAACAAATGTAAAGAGTTGCAGTACCTTAACCTAGAAGGTAACACCGTGGGAGTGGAAGCATCGAAAGTTATAGCACAGGCCTTAGAGAAACACCCCGAATTCAAGAGGGCACTATGGAAAGACATGTTTACGGGCAGACTCAAGTCTGAAATTCCAAAATCTTTGGTATAAGAACTGTGAAAAGTTTAAAAACTCAATTTTTTAATGTTTTCTTTCAGCAATTCCTAGGCGATGGCTTAGTAGCTGCTGGAGTCAGGCTCACCGAACTAGATTTAAGCGACAACGCTTTCGGTCCAATAGGTGTACAGGGACTGGCATCATTGCTCAAAAGCCCAACTTGTTATGCACTGGAAGAACTCAGACTCAACAACAATGGTTTAGGAATTACTGGTGGCAAACTCTTGGCCTCCGCACTAACAGAATGTTACAATTCTAGTAAAGCCCAGGGTAAACCTCTAGCCCTTAAAGTGTTTATTGCAGGAAGAAACCGGCTTGAAAACGAAGGTGCCACAGCACTGGCAGGAGTGTTTAAAATGCTTGGTAGCTTAGAAGAAATCGCCATGCCCCAGAACGGTATATATTACTCAGGAATAACAGCCCTATCCGAAGCATTCACTTCTAATAAAAACCTACAAATTTTAAATCTCAATGACAACACAATCGGAGAAAAAGGTGCAACCGCCATAGCAAAGGCTTTGCCCAATTTACAGAACTTGAAAGAAATTAATTTTGGAGATTGCCTGTTAAAAACACAAGGATCAATTTTGTTGGCTCACGGTAAAACGATTTCCTTTTTTTTCCTTAAATTTTTTTTTTCTAAATATCTTCTCTAGCATTGAAGGATAAGCACGAAAAACTGGAACAACTAGCCTTGGGATATAATGAAATAAAAATGCGGGGTGGTCTAGAACTGGTAAAGGCTGTAGCGAATAAAATAAAATTAAAAAAAATCGTGCTGGACGGGAATCAGTTTGGTGAAGAGGGGGCGGAAGAGTTGCAAGATAAATTTAAAGAAATCGGTATTTTTTAGGAATAAAATAAGATTTTTTTGGCTTAAAAAGGATATTTTTTAGGAAAATTAAACATAATATCTTTGGAAGATAACGAAGAGGATTCAGAGGTTGAAGATAAAAGAAGGGATGAAAGTGATAGTGATAAAAGTGAAGACGACAGTGATATAGATGAGGTCAGTTTTTTTTGGTGTGTCTATGATTATTTGTGATTTATATATATATATATTTTTTTTTAGCTACAAGATACAATACCCGTAGAAGACTTTCTGAGGTCACCCACAGCAAAAAATTTTATGTTATTGGGCGATCAAAGAACTGAACTTATAATTGATGCGTCTAAAGTAATTACTTTTAATCTCAAGTTTTCAATTTAATTATTATAATTTTTCAGAGTTATCTTGACATTAAGTTAGACAATTATATATGCGTTTTAATGAACGTGGCCTCTTTGACTGACAATGCCAAAGAAATCGTAGCAAAAACAGCGTTAAAGAGCACAGAAAGTCTTTACAAAGAACTGTTCGCTTGGTCGCAAAAAAACGACAAAACTTCCCTGGTTAACAACTTTATTTTAATAAGTATGGGTTTGATAAAAGTAATACACTGGAATTTTTCTTTTATAATATTAATTGAGATAGTGTATTTTTAATTTCAGTGTGAAGATAAAAGATTTAAACCGTTTTGGAACATTCCCGGATGCCTAACTTCACTGAAAAACCTTTCAAAATTGAATTTTACCCCTGATAGTACCAAAAACACTATAAAGGTTTTTATGGAAAGGCAAGTATAATATTGAAAAAGTTTTTAAATATATTTTTCTAACAAACTAATAATCTTGTTTTATTTTCTGTGGTTTTCAGGGAAATTGAACGAAACGGTACTCACCTTCAACTAAAAAAAGAAATTTTAGCTGCACTATAATAGTTTTAATGTAAATAAATGTACTTAGTTTTTTAAAAAGACTTATTTTCTTTAATTTACATCGAGTTTTATTTTGTTTAACAAAAATTAGATTATAAAATATTTAATTCTCTTGAAAACATATATACATTCAGTCTTTGTATTTTTCTATTGACTATTATTAAACAAAAATCTTCATGGTACTTTCAATATCCGTTCTACACACTGGACATACTTCATTGTAGTACCTCAGTTCTCTGGTACACTCCGAACATAAACATAAATGTCTGCAGGGCAGTAATAACACACACTTTGTTCTTTCTTGACAAATCACACAGAATCTTTCTTCCTCCGTGAGATGATTATTTTTTTCTTGAGCTACTGTTCTTGTAGAGGGTCTTCCTTGGACTCTAGCATTAATTTCTGGAGTTCTTTGAACAATTGGAGGTGCTGCAGTGGTACCATGTTGAATTCTCCATCTCTGAATCGCTGCATAATTATAGAGAATCATTTCTCTAAATTCTCTACTCCGTCTTTGAAACCATCTTTTACTTTTCCTCACTTGTAGCTTAACATATGACATAATAATAATATAAAATTGGCTGAATATATATGCTAGACTCAATGCTACAATTATGCCAGCTATGGACTCCAGAGGGACATCAATAATGAAGAAAATCATGTTTTTGATGCATTTTTCAATGTTACTGAAGGTGTTGTAACATATATCACAGATTTCTCGGTAAATTTTCTGAATGAACGAGACAAAAATCACACAGGTGTAGTATAACAAGAATGGTACTAGTGTAATAAGGAACCATACGCCTGATCCAAATAATATAATCAGTTTTTTAATTAAAACGAAGGTTTGTATCAGACAAAAGTAAATGTTCGATATTCCTTGCCAGATAAAACTGAAAACGGCTGTTAAAAAACTTATTACAGCTTCAACTGATAGCGATATCTTTGAAAGTAATAATAATACACTGTTGCATACTGCTTCTATACTGCTGGTGAAAAACTGAAGAAACTGTTGTATAAATTGCAAAATATCCTGCAGAAATATTACTAAAGATTCACTTATGACTGTGAAAACTCCAAAAACGTTTCCCAAAAAACGATTTAAATATTCCAGAGTATACAGGGCTAGGGATACTATAAAATTTCCAGTTTTCGAACTAATATAGAGGCCATAATAAAACGTAGTTTTCAGGAAATTAACTATTGAAACTAAAGTAGCTAACATTTTTCCGGTAAAAACATTTCCTTTCTAACGACAAAAACAAAACTATTTTCTAGGTTATGTCGGATAACTGTCATTATTTGAATTTGATCATATACCATAGATTTAGGAAGTCATATACGATATTAGGGTGCATCCACACTATCCTAAAAACGGCGTAACAACCTTGAATAGATTTCCAGTAATTCTATTGGCTGAAAAATTCATCTGTCAGAAATTTTATCTGTGAAATTCATCTGTCAGAAATTTTATCACTTATAATATCACAAGAGCTTAAATTATTTTCGGAAATTTTTTTGAGGGCACGAATATTTTGAAAATTATCCCGAGTCGAAGACGAGGGATAATTTTCCTAAAATATTCGTGCCCGAAAGAAAATTTCCAGGAATAATTTAAGCTTGCGTGGTATTCGGTAAGAAAATTTCACACCTAAATTTGAAAAAAAAAATATTAATGCAACATGACATTTTAAAATAATTTCAATTTGTTAATAATATTAACAAATATTATTATATTTTTAATTAGTTACATCAAATGCTAAAACTCAAATGGGTAATATTTCAATATATAGACATTGTAGTTCATTCACATTATGATTGTAGATCTTATGTTTACCTTTTCAACTGTCAAAAAATTTCCACTAAAGTTTCGTGGCGCCTCGAAAAAATTTCCGGAAATTTTTTCAGTTGCCATGGTAACTAGTCAACATTAAAGCATGTTATTGGTTGAAAAGTAGAGGTGTGAAATTTTCTGTGAAATTCATCTGTCAAAAATTTCAGCCAATAGAATTACTGGAAATCGATTCAAGGTCGTTACGCCGTTTTTAGGATAGTGTGGATGCACCCTTATGGGATTGACAGTTATCAAAGTGTATTACTGGTTGCCTAGCTGTTTTAAATATTTAAATTATTAATTTTTCTGGCGAAAATACTTGACGAAATATCACAGCATTTAAAGAAAACTATTTCGTAACAATACTATATAATATTCTGTGTCAAAATTAGTTTCAAAATAAAGTTTAAAAGATATTTTTATGATTATTAGAAAATAACGGCCGACTGCGTTAGTTTGACAGTTATATTTTAAACGGAATAGTTCAAAGAAAAGCGAAAAATTATCTGAATTCGTTATATTTTAGTAATTAATTTGCTTTAAATGTTTCAAATATACCCAGAACGAAAATCTACGCAGTACAAGGTATTAAAAGTGATTTGAATCATCCTGATATTGATCTCTAAATAACCCCTATTATGCCCTATTAAGTCTTTAATATTCTATGGAACTGGAATTGAAAACCCCAGCTACACAGGAATTTATATTTATTCATTACTAATATATTTTTCTTTATTTTTAGATCGGTACAATTGCTGTAGAAGGTTTAATCACAGAAACTCATCAAATATAGAACCGATAACAGACCAGTCATATACATAATAAATTACTTAATTTTTGATCAAATATCCCAAGAACCGTAATTCTTGTAATATGTTATGTAGAACAATAATTTTTTTTTAAAGTTGTAATAAAACCAAGGGTAATATTCTTTGTATATGTTTATTTAATTTTTTCTCGAAAAATAACTTATAAATACAATTATTATCTCAAACACAATATTAACCAAGAGTTCATTTTCTAACGATAAAATATAAATATATTTTTTATACTATCCGGTAAAAAAGTTTTTGTAAGCCTTCTTTTGGCTATACTCCAAATTTTTCAAAAAAATTCAGGTTCAAATATAAATAACAATAATAATTAACGATTTTTGACGTTTTTTTTAAATATATATTACGTAGATATATAAGTATACACAACCGCATATAAATATCTTGTCCAAAAACACACTCAAATTCACAAAATAAAATTTTTGGACTTGGTTGAATTAAAATTTTCTTTTTATAGAAAATACGAAAATACTTCAAGGACTTGTACGTACAGTATATATATTCGATCCAGTAAAAATCGATTTTTTTTCTTGTCCTTTCAAAAAATATTTTTTCAAACCACCAAAATCGTTTCCCTGTACATTCTAAACAGACAAGGACTCGTAAAGTTGCAGGTACAAACACTATCACATGATTCAGAATGTTTATATCCAGAATAATCGGTTTTTGTTTCTCTAATCTCATTTGTAGAGTATTTTTTTCCTGGGTATATAGTACTCTACCAGAATTTTTTTTTTTGGTTGTACAGTGTGGCGCCTCCCTGATTCTAATAATTCTCATCATTTAATTCATTCTTTTTATTTTTATTCAAGTTCAGAATCCGCAAATCAATAATTAACATACAGGGTGGCCCATCGAAAACGTTCCGCAAGGCATAACGGCCAGGGTAATTTTTTTTTCAGAAAATTCAAAAACACGTCAATTTTGTTTGTGAGGGGTTTAACTTTTGCCCCAAAAATTATTGCAAAATCTTCAACCCTCTAAGCGGGGGTGTCATCCCCCAACTTTTTTCAAATTGTTGTCCTGTTATGCCTGGCGGAACGTTTTCGATGGGCCACCCTGTATATATAGGGTGTTCCAATACAAAAAACACAATTTTGTATGTAACTTTTTTCGAGGACACCCTGTAGAACTCTAAATTAACCTACGTATGCTTACAAAGTTCCATTTCAATATACAAACTGTCGTTCTCCTTGGAGCCTCAGCGTCTTATGAGAGGCGCCACCCTGTATATGTGTCAGACTAGGTGTCAAGCAACTATTAAGTGTTAATTTTATCGTTATATTAAATTTGACTTTTTATATATAACAGCAGATATTTAAATACAAATGGAATGTTTTGATTTTTTTTTAAATAATTCTAAACAATTTTTTTTTCTTCAAAAATATTTATATCCAATAATCGCCTAAACACCTCGTAGAACACATATCACTTCCTACTAAAAATTACATTTTAATATGCATTTTATAAACATACTTTTTTATATTAAGTACATGGATTGAATTCAAGGTTCTTTAACAGCTAAAAACATGTTTTTTTTTTGACACAGTATATAAAAATATGCCCCAATTGAATAGCCACCTCGAATTCATATATTTTTGACTATATTTCAGTATTCTTCTTAGCACATTTAAATTTAAACCAATACAAGCGTGTAAAAAAATCATCTTGAACAATTTGGATATATTTACAAATAATTTATTTGTTATATTTAAACATATTATAGCTTTTTCGGAGCTACATACGTCGCCAAAAAGCTTTTGACAAAAAATATATATCTTCAATATCATAATATGTCAATTTTTAACAAAAAAAATATATATAAAAAAACAATAAATAGGAAATGGGAGCCCTAACAACTATATGTTGGGACAAGGTCATATTTTGGAATTATTGCCCTGGTTTTTCAAAATGACTGAAAAATATATGTTTAATTTTTGAAATATAAACATAGGCATATATCCTAAACAACTTGACAATATTTTTATGAATTTGTAAATCAATCCATATTTACAGTAGCGGATTTTGTTCATAAAAGGACAAATTTGCTGACAACTAAATGTTGGGACAAGTATTTTTAACTAATTAATATCATCATAGGCGGCTTGTCTACAAACGTCACAAATGTCGCAAACTGGTTACTTCAGTATTGACAGCTTGTAAGTGACTCGATACTTTGAGTAGTGAGATTTACTGTAATTTTATTTTTTTTTAATTTTCAATTCTGTTAATTTATTTCAAAGTAATGGTAAAGCTACAAATCAAAAACTATACGGGAAAAACAATTCGAAAAATTTCTTATGATTTAAGTATTCCAAAAACCACGGTCTTTAATATAATAAAAAAAAAACGGCGAATCTGCCAATGTAGACGTTAGAGGTAAAAGTTTGGGAAGGCCAAAAGTGGTATCTCAGAGAGATTTAAGAAATTCAGTAAAAATTTGCTAGTCTGCGAGAAGAAGTACTCTTCGCGAAGTAACAGTTAAATGGAATACTGTAACTGGTTTAAATATATCAAGAGAATGTTGCCGAAAATATATCCATAAATGCGGTCTGGGGTTTTACAAGGTAAACTTTATTTTGTGTGAATAATCAATTACCTGAAGATTATTGATACAAATTCTTATTTAGGCCAAAGAAAAACCGCTACTGACAGAAATTCAAAAGATAAATCGCTACAATTGGGCAAAATCTAAATTATCGTGGACACAAAATGATTGGAATAAGGTCATATTTAGCGATGAGTCTAAATTTGATGTTTGCGTTGGAGATCATCGAAAACGAATAATACGAAATAAAGCAGAAGCCTTTCATAAAGATTGCTTAAAGAGGGTTGTTAAATTTCCTAAGGGGATTATGGTTTGGGGTTGCATGTCAGCAAGAGGTTTGGGCAAATTAAATTTTATAGATGGCACTGTTAACGCCCAAAAATACCAAACCAAACCAAACCTCACTTTTGTCTAGTGCTCAAGAGTTGTTTCCAAACGAAGACTATATTTTCCAACAAGATGGAGCATCGTGCCATTCAGCAAAATCAACTAAAAATTGGTTCGGTAATAATAATATAAAAGTTCTATCCCATCCTGCAAGTAGTCCGGACCTCAATGTTATAGAAACTGTGTGGCATAAAATGAAGCAATATTTAAGAAACCACCCTCAACGAACAATTTTTGATTTGCGGACAAAACTGCAGGAAATTTGGGATAATTTTTCTCCTCAAATGTGCCAATCTTTGGTAAATACAATGCCATTAAGAGTTCAGGCAGTTGTTAAGGCGAAAGGTGATGTAACACCGTATTAAACAAATTTCTTGTTGTGCCGTCCCAATATATAGTTGTCAGCAAGTTTGGCTTGATTTTGGCAAAATAAACTATTATCAAAAGTGATTTGTTTGCAAAGTTATAAAAATATAGTAAAATTGTCTAGATCATATTGTAATGTTTGAATTTAGAATAATAAACGAAATAAATGGAGTCGTTTTAACAAATTACTATTTTTATTGCAAAAAAAGACCTTGTCCCAACATATTGTTGTTAGGGCTCGTATTATATACAGTTACATAAATATATGGTCGTATTTAAGTCCAATAACAATTCCATATACAGGGTGTCCCACTCAAGACGGATACAAGCCAATATCTTGGCTGTCTGTTGAGCGATCTTTTTCATTTTTGGCAGGAGGCCGTATGGCTATAAGACGTACATTTTGCCCAGGGTAAGAAATGCGATACCTCATAGACGTACGTTTTAATGGGATTTGATATTATTCGACTCAAGAGTAAACTACCCTTAGGACAGTATTAATTTCAAATCTGATAAATTATATTGAATCCACCTTACCCAAGATACTTAAATTCTAATTTTGAAAAATATTGATACAGGTTGTTGTGTGTTATTAAAATAAGACATTTTTATTTTTATTATTATTTTTTTAAGTACTTACGACGCCACTGGATAAACAACTAGTTTATTATCAATAACCAATTATTAATTAATAATCGTTTTAAGTTTTCGGATAGCTTCCATAATAATTAAGATACGATACAAAAAAATTAAATATTTTCAATTTATTTTGTTTACTCTAAAAAAATTGTTTTTTAAGTTCGCTAATACAAATGAATAAAGTGATTTTTATTCGTTTTATTGAGTAATATTTTAAAAAATCCAAATAGTTATTTAAAACAATCACTATTAACTTTGAAAAATATGCTCTGAACAAAGATTTATAAAACTATAACGAACTAAAAGTCAACATCTTCGACCAAACTTAAATAAACCAGTTGTTGATCCAGTGGCGTCGTAAGTACTTAAAAAAACAATAATAAAAATAAAAATGTCTTATTTTAATGACACACCCTGTATCAATATTTATCAAAATTAGAACTTAAGTATCTTAGGTAAGGGGGATTCAATATAATTTATCAGATTTGAAATAAATACTGTCCTAAGGGTAGTTTACTCTTGACTCGAAAAATATCTAACCCCATTCAAACGTACGTCTATGAGGTATCGCATTTCTTACATATAAAAATGAAAAAGATCGCTCAACGAACCATCAAGATATTGGCTTGTATCCATTTTAAGTGGGACACCCCCATATATGTACAAAAATTCGTACAAAAAATACAAATTATTTTTATCTCCAGACAGAGAGATAAAATACAAGTTTCTGTTTTCCTCCACCTCAGCAAGTAAAAGGGATTGATATTAATAATAATTAACAACTTCAAAAAATACCAATTTTTGTGTAGTACTCGCCAAATTCTTAACCTAAATATTATTCTTCTTTTCCTGAGCAATACTTCTGCCAGTTTTATCTTGGATTACACAATAGATGCATTTTTTCCTCATAAAAAATATACTATACATATAAATAAATAGAGATTCTTAAAATTTTGAAAAAAGATCAAACAAGATCCATCTTCGAATAAATCCTATAGTACCACAGAGCTCAAAACAGCAAAACTAGTCGTTAATACTTTCTTCTTTCACTTTAATCATATCACAAATACATTTATAACCATCTTAGGCCGTACCACCCTTATCACCAAAGCTTCCTATCACCTTAGACGGCGATTTGCGCGCACCAAACGCTTTTTTTCTCGAAAAAACACTGATTTTTGAACTGATTTCGTTTTTTTTTAGTGTTACATAGTGTTGGTTTTTGGGAACATTTTCATCACCGAACTAGTTAGTGTTACGGGGTCCGCGTGTGAAGTACCTGGAAGCAAATTAAAAGGAACCTGTAATTCCGATAGTACCCTATTATACATAACTAGACTCAATAATGTGCCCATTAATTTTACCCCCTAAAGTGATGAATTTTGAAAATAATTTTTAGTGCTACATACCTGATGTCACTCTATGAACCCTTGTTCAAAATTTTCATACAAATTTTCATCCCATCACTTTCTCGCAAAAATTAATGTCATTTGAAAGAACCTTTCTGCCAATTTGTATGCTTAGAAAACCAAGAGTTACGAAGAACCCCCTAATTTCATCCCCTTAGGAACTGAAATTTCGAAAATCCCTTCTTGGTGCCAAATTACGTTACACAAAGAACCTTTATACAAAAGTCCATGCTTCTAGACCAGGCGATATAAGTCCTTGATTGATTTTTGTTAATATTATAGCCAATCATTAAAACAAACTTGTAATAATTATATATTATCTTCCAAATGTACTTACTGTGTCTTTCGTGGTACTCCTGAAAGCAGGGCACTATGCACAAGTTCGTCTGACACTCCGGACAGTGGTACTTCGTCTTCCTCCTCAGTATCCTCCCGTGAGTGTCCACAGTGTTCCAACAATAGTTACAGCCTAGTGCAGGTCCGGGCCTGATCACTGGACAATGACTAGAACGCGTACTACTCTGGAAAATACAGAAAACGCACATAAAACCAGTTTGGTCGATGATTACTTTTTGAAATACTCCGGTAGAATTAAATGTTTGGTCGATGAAATATTTTTGAACGGTCCCGGTAGTAGAAAATTTGTTTGATCAATAATAGTAGTTCTTGAAAACCTTCTAGTTAACGATCATATAGATCAAACGTTGTAGCTAGACATTTTTCTGCATTTTACGTAAAGATTGAGATCTATTATTGTACAGAGCTATTTGAGAATGTTAGTTTAAACGAAGAAAACGAACGTAAAATTAGTTTGGCTGAGTTTACTTTTTGAAATACCCCGGTAGAATTAAAAGTTTGGTCGATAAAATCTTTTTGAACGGTCCCGGTAGTAGAGAATTTGTTTTATCAATAATAGTAGTTTTTGGAAACCTTCTAGTTAACGATCATATAGATCAAACGTTGTAGCAAGACATTTTTCTGCATTTTACTTAAAGATTGAGATCTATTATTGTACAGAGCTATTTGAGAATGTTAGTTTAAACGAAAAAAACGCACGTAAAATCAGTTTGGAGGAGTTTACTTTTTGAAATACCCCGGTAGAATTAAAAATTTGGTCAATAAAATCTTTTTGAACGGTCCCGGTAGTAGAAATTTTGTTTTATCAAAAATAGTAGTTCTTGGAAACTTTCTAGTTAACGATCATATAGATCAAATGTTGTAGCAAGACATTTTTCTGCATTTTACTTAAAGATTGAGATCTATTGTACAGAGCTATTCGAGAATGTTAGTTTAAACGAAGAAAACGAACGTAAAATCAGTTTGGCCGAGTTTACTTTTTGAAATACCCCAGTAGAATTAAAAGTTTGGTCGATAAAAACTTTCTGAACGGTCCCGGTAGTAGAAAATTTGTTTTATCAATAATAGTAGTTCTTGTAAACCTAAACGATCATATAGATCAAACATTGTAGCAAGACATTTTTCTGCATTTTACTTACAGAATTTGAGATTTATTTTACAGAGCTACATTTTGAGAATGTTAGTTTGTGATCGTATTTCGTCAAAATGTCATAAAAGTTTGGCAGATAAAATAAAAAATGTACAAACACGAGCTATCTAAAGTTCCTGCAAATTTAGACAGTACCGAACCAAAGACTCTAAACAAAACACATGTTGAATCCATGTTTATTGAATTTCCTGAAATTTTGTCAACCGATAATGAGAGTGACTTCAGCAGTGGTAAAAATATATTCTGTTCCAAAAACAACACAAAACTTTCATCTACGCTTTGGGTAATTTTAGGCATAACTGACGTTTTCGAAGAGTACCACAAGGAGAGCTTCTTAAGACCTCTCCCAGGAACCAAAACGAAGTACCTCAGCAAATTAGAAGCTGACAAAAAGACTTTAGATGAGTTTACTGATGATTTCAAAAGGACTATGAGAAAATTGAGAGACGAACTTGAATTAAACGATGATATAACTGTCGAAAATGAAGATGATATTGAAAAAACACTGAATGGTGATGAAAAGAACGTGTTTTTTAAAGAATCTAGAAAAATTGAAGTGGAAGAACCAATTCCGGTGGATACAGAGGTGTGTCAAAGCGAAACTACTTCAAGTATGTATCACAGAACCTTCCAAAATGCTTGATATGGTACTAATAAGGGTACCCACACAATTTTTTTTAGATTCGGCGATTTGGAACATGATCAAAGCTCATAGAGGTCCATACTTTTATGCTAGCCCACCCCATTATGATATTTTCTGCACGGAACCAGAAGATCATTATTTGAGAAGGCCTGAAATTCCTTGGAAGAAAGTTGATGAGTCGAGGAAGAAATGCGAACAGTGGTTGGAACAACGATGCCAATAATACATCATATACTGTGTGTTTTTTAATGATGACGATGTTTATATCATTTCTTTCTCCCTTTATTGTGTTATTGTAATCTTCTTTTAAGTATAATTTCTACTGCTTTTTTTTGGTCTCGTGTTAATGTGTTATAAACTTTTATTACATAATACTTTGAGTCAAAATATAGTTTTTCTCGTGTGGAACTCACCTGGGGCGATGATGCACTTCTTTTCAGTTCATCTGTCCTCACCCTGAGGATCTGCGTCGGTGCTACCTCGGCTACGTCTGACCTGGAGAGGTCAGGGTAGGAGGCTTGAGCGCTTGCGCTGACCACCACCACCGGACTGATAGCTCTTTCGGCTGGATCTGTATCGCTATGGCGACTCAGATGGATATTGAGCGGTGGTGATAGAGGCTACAAGAATAAAGAGAATAAAAAAGTATATAAACAGTATAAACACTTATAATAGATATTTTTTATAGTCCGGCAACTCTAAGGTGGACCACCCTGTATCTATAAATAAGGGTATACAGGGTGGTTCGAACTGTATTCCGGAACGTACTTCGGCAGCATATTCTGCAGATAAAACTAAGTAAAAAAGTTCGTATAAATATATGTCCTAAAATGCTTAGTTCCAGAGATACAGGGTGTAGAAGTTTCATTTTTATTTTGATGGTTTCGAGATATTTGGAATCGAAATTATCAATACCTGTCATTACTGACATAAATGAAACATGTTGACCACGGGGGTGTCACTTGTATGGGAAAACAGGCAACAGTCAAATTTAAACGTGCCAGGACCAACGACAAAGAAAGCAACATCTGCCAGGCATTGGCTTTCTTTGTCACTCACATTGCTTAAATCATGATACCGCGGCCATTTTGCCAACAAAGAAGCTGGCCGCCCTGGCCGGGCTGTCCTGGCAAGTGCTTTAAAACAATTTTGCTTTTTTACAATATTAAATTACCATTTGGATGTATTTAATGCGATTATTCAGTTAACTGGTAAGTCAGAAATTACACACAAATACTTTATTCGTAAATACAACTAAGATGTAAACGTATTTTTGTATTTTTAGATTTCAACTTTTGCAAAGACCCGCCGATAGAACTTGCCTGGCAGCGTACCTGTTTAACTAAACGTATTATTTCCTGATAATAATATCAAAACACGTAAGTACCTCTATAATTTATGATGAAAAATGATTTTGATTATGTTTTATATTATTTACATACTTTCTAACCTCAAATAATAGTAAGATCCTTGTTTATATCGCACAGCCCGTTCAAAACTGTATTGTCTTCAAAAAATGTTTACAAAACAAACAATTATTACAAAAACAATGTCCCTTTAATCTGATTTATACCTCAGAAGGATGCCAGTAAAATTTTATTAAATCAACATTATATTATTTGGCCATTAATATGCAAAAAGGAGCATACTGCCTTAACTTAAATTTTCTTTTACTTCTCCTGACAATGTTCTCTATATTCTCTATTTTGAGTTAGTAAACTTTTTGAACGGATGTGCGATATATAAAATACATAATATATCCAAGGGTATGATCTGATAAAAGTATTTTTGATGCATTTTTTGGTTGTTTATGCACGTTGGCTTGGTTTATGTTTTATTCAGCTTATATTTATTTGGTATAACAGTTTTTTTTGCCTTTGGAATGGCATGCATTGAGGCTAGATAGTGTTTCATTAGATCATTAAAAGGAATTTAAATTAGCATATATTTTTTGTGATATTAGTGTGTTATCATGATACAGGTAGTTGTATCATAGTGCCTTATGCATGTTATTTACCTATTATATACTTATGTATTATCAGTAAATAGATGATAATATACTACTAAAATGTCTTTTTAATAGTATGTTTATCTTTCCAATTCACTAGTTATTTGCAAAATGTATTTTGAACTAATTTAAGTCATTAATTGATTATCTTTCTTTTTCAGGTTCCGGGATATTCTTTTTCATTGTTAAAAAAATATATATATTTCAATATTATTGTAATATAAATCGCAGCTCTAAAAAATAAATGATATTGTTTACTAATGTGTAATTTATTTACTATGAATTTTCTCTGAGAATAATAAGCCTTTAATAATATCATTGATTTGCTGTGTAAACTTAATAGACATATTTTTTAATACATTAAATTATATTAAAGTAATAAAAAATATGTTTATTAACTTTAAACAGTAAGTCAGTGATACTTACAATTTTTTTTTTAATTTCCCCTCTTTTAAGCCCCGCCCCTCCAATTCCCCTCAATTTAGCTAGTACTGCCAGGCGACACCAGGTGGCGTCTGTTTCCATTTTTTAACATGAAGTTAGCATTTCTTTAATGTACCTATTCTCTGATGTTGACTAAATAGTTATTAGACTGAAATGATAAATTTGAAAAGTTTTTGTGCCAAAAGTTCAACAAAAACCTCAAAATAGGTATTTTGTACAAATGTATTTTGGGCAAATACCGATCTTGGCAAGATGGCGGCGCCGGCGGCAAGTCTGGAAATATGCATTTTATGGATTTTAGTTAGGGACCCCAAAACCTATAAACCTGCAAAGTTGCAAAACTTCCGGACTTTTTTCCAAAAATCCCCAATGACTGAACTATTAATGAACGTATTATGATATCTATTAAATTGAATAATATGTAGTAGTGGGAACTATCGAATGAATACTATCGAAACATTCGATAGTTGCAATTCATTCGAATAATTCGATAGCTAGTAAAAAACATTCGTTGAAAACTATTCGAATAAAAATTATCGAATAGATCCGTCATCTGCCTTGAACTATTGTATTCTAGTAATTCGGCAGCAAAAACCATTCATTTATAAAATTCATTCATTTATGAAATTCATTTATTCGTCAGGATCGATTATAATAAAATATTAACTGAATTTTAGTTGTCGCCCGGCGACGTAGGTTTCTTTCCGAGAAACCCGACAGGCGGTGGTGGCAATGCTATGAAAGAAGCCGGCATCTTTGATTTTTTGCGGAGTCATATAAAGATAAGGACACATTATTTTTTTATTGAGGTGCTAGTATTTACACAGAAAATACATTATGAAGGGCGCTGTTGCCATATATTGGTATTAGTTGATATTAGCAAAGAATATTATTGTTTGGCTTTAGTTAGTTAGGGATAGTATGTCTATATATTTTGCATTTTTTTTATTAATATTCTGTTGTTACACTGCAATAATACTTGTTATTTTGGATGTAGGAAAATGATTTTTAATGTTTTTAAGTAAAGACTGGTTTAATAAAAATAATAATAACAGTAATAATTTGTTATACCTATTAACAACAAAATTTAAAATAATTTAAAATAACCATTTTTTTTACGTAGTAGCAAAATATAAACAACAAATCAGATGTCAAAATGATTTATATTAGATCCTATTTAAAAATAATATAGTCTTTAAATTGTTTGTGGCAACGTTGGTTTATTAAATAATAATAATTACAGAACTAATTTGTTATATTAACAACAAACTTTAAAATCATGAAATATAAACATTTATTAATTTTCTAAGCATGCAGTGTAATGGAAGGAAAATATAAATAAACAATTAGAAATCAAAATTATTTATATTAGGTACTTTATATTACTATTTAAAAATAATATTTACTTTTACTGGCATTTACTTTAAAAATAAATGAAATATTTCTTTGCAAAAAACTACATGTAAGAGAATTAGCATAAACAAAATACAAACATCGTTAACTTTTTTTTAAATTGGCACGTGTAAAACTTTCAATTTAATTTTCACACCCCATAGTTTGAGTTCGATAACCACATTTACTTAACCACATTACTTAATATATATGATTATTAAGTTCAACTAATTCATATTATTAAAACATCTAAAATACAAATATGTATTTTTAAAATTAATTCTAAGTTCATCTCATCTCTCTTAAAAATTGCTACTTCTCAAAATTTCCCATTAAAAAATAGACCATATATACCATATAAAATTAAATAATTGAAAGATCGGGCTACGGACACCTGCACACGCACACAATCGTCAATTAAAAAAAACTACTATTTTAGTATTTTAAATATTTTAATAAACGCAAAAATAGCACAGTATTTACAAGGTGAAGTTATAAAAATTTGGAAGAACTAATAATGCACTGACGCACACAAAAGTCAAACGAATACTAAATTTCATTTATCAAAAGCATTCGATAGTCGTAGCTCAACGATAACCATTTAGTTGCACGGCGAGGTTGTCACATATGCTTTAGTATACAAATGAATGAATGATTTTATTCGAATAAAACCATTCGATAGTTGAAATCATTCATTCAGTAACCATTCGATAGTCTAATTCATTCGATAGTTCCCATCGCTAATAATATGCTTCATCAGGCATTTACTTGAAAGATTGTTCAAACTGTATCATTAACATATTATAATAAATAAGTTTTCATTTTTTTATAATTATTATCAATAGAACAGTTTATTTGTATTTAGTGCAAAATAAATGTTTTACAAAATATTTTTTTTTTCTTTGGTAGTCATATAAACAAGTAAGTGCGGTAATGAAAATGCGTGAGTTAAGAAGCTCTTAACTCACTCAAAATACGTGAGTTAAGAGCTTCTTAACTCACTGACGCACATAGGTCATTTTATGTATTTTAGGAATTAATAAATAAAAAAATTGAATGTCGAAAAAAATATTTTTTTATATTTCATCTTGGAGGTAGGGCCCCATAGATATTATATCTGCGATATTATATTTTAATATTAACAGAAGTGGCCATGGCCAGAATGACAATGTCAAAGTTTGTTTGAATTATTTCGCATAGTAAAATTACTGTCATTAGTTCATAAAGTTTCGAATTTTGTTGTTACGAATAGAAGGTGAGTTTAAAAAGTAGTGTTGTGTTATTGTGTACCATAAGGTAAGATTTATTATTAAAAAAAATAATATCCGTTTAAAAAGCTTGTGACTTGGCGAAAAGATACAATGTTTTAATAATAAGAAAAAAATAGTTTTTTTTCATAACTTTGTATTTAAAAATGTTTATAATTCAGGATTTATACAGATTTATTTCAAGAACATTTTTTTCGTATTCACAATCATTTTATCGATTAATCTATCCTAAATTTAACTGCCAAGATGTGCCAAGAGTAAATATATATATTGTTTTAGGTACCATGTCAATAGAAAAATCTCTCTTGTTTTCTGCTTGGTGTGAAGGCAATTCTTTGAAGAACAAAAATGCATCTGTTTTGCCATTTGTTCTGAACACGCTAAATTTAGGGCAACATGTTGGCGACGAACATTATAATGAAATAGTGAAAATTATTAAAAAATGTAATTATTATTATTATTACTCTTTGTCTAAATGTGTGGGAACACGGTCAAATAAGGAACCATTTATCAAAGAAGTTCTTAATTTACTTCGAGAGCGTACTTTACAGGCATCAGAGTTTGATGAAAATATTAGTCAGGATGATGATATCATCGATATTATGTCTCTAAAAGGGTACCTACATAGTGAGGCATCTCGATGCGATGTTCGCCGCGATGCATCCTACGCGCACTTACTCGTTTGCAGTGCTTAGAACGTGCGCGTAGGATGCATCGCGGCGAGCATCGCATCTAGATGCTTCACTATGTTTGTACCCTTAGTAGTGACGAGGATATCGATAGTGATTAAATAAAAATATTATTACATAAATTTCTCTAGTAAAATAGTGTTATTATCATTTTATTTATATTTGTTAAATGTTTTAGGTTGTTTTTTTCATTGTTCAAGCTAATTTTTACTTTCAATTAACTTTAAAATTAAAAATTAAATTTAGTAAACCTTCTAGATACTAATAAATTCACTTACAAAAAAGTAACGAACTACAGTTTTTGTTTGAGTTCGATATAATAAAATGAAAAAAAATAATATCTTCGTAAGACACCCTTTACAAGCATAAAATGAAAGAAAATATCATTATCCCACGCATTTATTTATTTTCTTACCAAACAAATTTATTTTTGTTTTAAAAAATAATTTAAATTTTAAAGGCATTATTTATTACCGCCTAAATTGGCGAAAATGACCTATGTGTGACGTAGGTAAAAAAAATTATATTTATCTTTTAAAAAAAGGGTTTTACGGTAAACTCATATAATTTCCTGAGTAGTACCTGTTGTATCTGACTGGGCAACAGCGGATGCGAGTGCTGCTTGACCAGTACCGCCCCCGGTATGGCCAGCAGATTCCCAGGGGGCGGCGATAGCGACGCTGGCAAGGGATCAGAATGCTGTCGTTCCATCCTCCCGGAAGACGGTACGCTCAGGTAGTGCAGGGACGGTGCCTCTGAGTCGGAGGGCTGGCTGGAATCGCTCTCCCGTTTGATACGGGGTTGCCGCATCAGAAATCGCCCCCTTTTGGTACCCATCGGGGGCTGGTTCTGTTGCATGATCTGTTCCACGGTGGTACCTTTGTCTGGGAACAGTCAATTTTTGTTTAAATCGCATCCTAAATTGTTTTTTTTTTAATAATTTTATTATTATTACATAAATACCGAGTGCGTAACAATTGAATACACCAATCAATCCTAATATATGTCATATACTAACATAGCAAATCTCGTTTTTTTTATCTGATAAAATAAAAAAGTTATAGGGGTGAGCCACTTTTGAGACGCACCCGGTATATTTACAGGGCGATTGATTATTCTTTTTTTCAAAACAAGCCAAGTATTCAACAGCAAAATATTTATAAATCTTTCGCAATACTTACCTGTCTCTTTCACTAAAATAAATCCCTGCAAAATAGACTAAAAATTATATCATGTTTTTCTAATAAAACAAACTCGAAATTCTTCTAATTTTTTATTATAAAAAAGTTCATTTTTAAATCTAGATCTTAAATCTAAATAGTTAAAAATACGTTGAAACGTTAAAAAAATAAATAAACATAAATATATAAAAAACATTTTTTTCTCAAAAAAAAGTAGAGCTCAAAACAGTTTTTTTTTGTTTATGCGATAAAAAAAAAGAATACTTACGGGTTATTAGTACGATCATAGCTGCTTAAACTAACACAGTGGTATGGCACAAACACATCTACTATATGTCTTGGACAAAAAAAATATATTAGGGAAAACATGTTTTTTTTCCAGTAATTTTTTTAAATTTATTGTCAAAGTTCACCCAAGGAAAACCAAAGAATAAAGTCGAATTAGTATCACAATTTTGGTTATTTTCAGTTAATTTTAAGATTAAATTCCCTAATATATTTTTTCTCTAAATATTAACAGGTAAAAATTATCGTATAACATCATACAACAGAAAAAAAAACAATAAATAAATTTTACAAAGAAACTTATTATAATCAGTCTCTAAAAAACGAAAGTTTTCTAATATCTTACACAAAAAAAAAATATTTTTTTTAGGTACTCGAAATATAAAAACTTTTTTTCCTCGAAATTTACAACCTTATTATTTTTTTTTTCGTAAAAAACCGGAAACAACAATCTTATAATTATTTACTGAACACTTTGAATAAGAAGACTAAGGAAGGAGCATATCAAAAATCTTAGGTACACCGCGATGGGCCTCAAATATGGCCGACTTAAATTCCGGTTTATCAGTGTCGTTCTAATTTTATTTAAAAAATGTAAAACTATGATGTAGGGTAGACGTGGGGTAGACTCAATAATTTGTTGTTTTATTTTACGTTGTGAATAAATGTTGGTAGTTATTAAAATTGTTATAAAAATATATAATTCTAATAAAAATAGATAAGTTATAATAAGTATTTATTACCACAAACATCCGATACGCTACTGAAGCAGGTAAGTCAAATTAACGTATCTATCTCTAGCTAAAATGCAAGAAAAATATATAATTTAGTTAATTTAAGTGAATTTCATAAATGATCGGTTTACTACACGTATGTATATTATATAGTCACTTACTAGCGAAAAGTTGTTCCATTATTTCACTCAATTTTTGCCGAGATCTACCGCACGCTACACAACCAACTATTTTATAGTCTTTTTCAATAAATCGCGATAGTGTCACTGTTAATTTAAGTTCTGCCACAATTTCCATCTAGATTTACTACCTTTATACAACTATCAGTAGTAGAATAAATAATAAATAACATAAAATAAGCTCCGTAAAGACTGACAAATCCACAAAATTTCAAATCAAATTCAAATGTGTCAAATGAATCGTCAAACAGAACTGTCAAGGATCCCCACCCTAGAGCTGCCTAGAGTGCTTTTTCCGCCCACCATGCATGAATACATGGATAGCATTATGCTCCTTCCTTAGTCTTCTTATTCAAAGACTGAACACGATCATCAACGGAAGTGACGTAATAACCCGTCAATTTCACATCTGCTCGAAATTGATGCTCTGAAAATTCAACGCCTGCGAGGAGGCCATAGCAGTTGCAGCGTCCAGGTACTTGGGCCTGTGCAAAACCGGTCCCAAATCCATGGGTTTTCCGTCGAAAAAAGTCGTACCTATCAGAGCTATGGGATGAGTACCACCTCCGCCCGCAGAGGCCGTACAAATGATCTGATCCTGATGGTGATGGTTATGATTTTCCTCGCTCGGGATTTTACCAGAATACATTTGTTCCTGCTTGACAAAAAGCGGAGCCTCTTGAACTCCAATTCCCTGGACTATTTCTGGAGGACTTGACTGATCCTGAGGGGTACTGTTTTCCTGTTTCCTGTTCTTGATGCTTAACCGAAAATTCGGGTAGCCTCGCTTTTTGTACTCTAACCAAAGAGTTCGGTTGTTCACGCCGTACATTCGGGCAGCCTTGCAAAAACCTATCCCCCCAAACCTCACAGCCTCGAGGGCTTTGATAAAATTCTCATCGCTCTGAGGATTGACACTTCTCTTCCTTTTTTGTATGATCTGAGGTGGGGAATTCCCTATTTGCCCGGGGAAACAATCAGGACTTTGAGGATTTTGAGTGCCTTGCCCCAAATCGTTCTGACAATGTTGTTGCTGTTGTTGTTGATTGGGATTTTGCTGAGTTGTTTGAGTGGCGTCGTTATGGAGATGAGTCTGACAGGGAGGGGGGTAAAAATTTTGGTCCATCACGTTCCAATGGAGGCCTGCAAGACAAACGGGACGTACATGGTACGAGAGAGTGAGAGAGATGGGAGATATTACGAAGGACTTTTTCTTCTTCATACAAAAGACAGAGACTTTAGTGCAAGGCTAAACTCAACTGCAGGTGCATTTTGAATGGATGGGTGTATGGACAATAAAAATGGATTGGATGAACTAATATACTGGGTGTCACAATAATTCCTCTTGTTTCTGTAAATACAGGGTGGCTTTTATGTATGGTAACGGTCGATTATTAGGTAAAATATAGGAGGTACCGCAAAAAGTTAAATACAAAAGTTATAGGATGTTTAAATATCTATTAGCGAGTGATGAATTTAAGTATACAGGGTCGTTCATAAAGTCGTGACACATCAAAGTTTCAATTCTAAGCAAAAATCGAAATAAACACAGTGTACTTCAAACCAACCGTTTCCGAGTTATTGACTTTTGAAAATATCACTCAAACAATTCGATTTAATTAATGTGTGTATTTCGATTTTTGCTTAGAATTGAAGGAAGAATTGAAATATGCAATAATATACAGGGGGTTCCCTTTAAAAAAATGAAACTTTGATGTGCCACGACTTTAAGACCGGCCCTGTATACTTAAATTTATTATCCGCTAATAGATATTTATAAACCCTATAACTTCTATATTTAACTTTTTGCGGTACCTCCTATATTTTACGTAATAATCGACCGTTTCCATACATAACAGCGACCCTGTATATATAGTCTGTGAAACGAATAACTTTGAATTTGACAGTTCCCGCGGGCTTTTCTAGTGTTAATTTTATTAGGTTAGCAACTTGCGGCCCTGCTGACGCAATGCCGTCTCTAATAGAACAGCCTCGGAGCGATATTTATGACGTCACGCTAGTTAGATACTACGGATTAATAAATATGTTGTAGAATACATGGAAAACATAATTATTCCTCGTATTTTTGGTTTGTATTTTAAAAATGATATAGTTTACATGAAATATACAATAAATACAATATATATACCTATTTATAGTAATAAATACTTTGGCAAATAAACTATGAAACATACAAATGCAGCAAATGATTTACAATATGGCTGAAATCGTACTCCATTGTCAATGTAGATAGTTTTAGTGTTAAGAATAATAATTTTAAAAAATATGTGGTCATCTTTTGACAAGTTTATATTAGTTTATTAATTGCAGTAAACATTAGGTATGTGGTGTGAATATTTTATATGTAATTTTTTTTAAAATGTTTTAAATTATGTATTTTTTTCATATGACACAACACTGATGAAGACTATAATGTTAGCCGAAACGTTTTTTTTAAACCAAATAAAAATGATGTAAAACCAAATGAAAACTTAATCAGCGTTTTTCCCGAACCTAAATACCAAGAAAATCCGCCTTCGAAATGACGCCTTTTTTTCTATGATATTGTATTATTTGCAAATATAATTTTTCGAACATTAATAACAATACATCACTATTAGTAGATATTGAATGTTTTTTGTTAAATTAGATCGATTTTCAAACCCCAAAATTTAAAATATATTTTACATTTTACCCATTATCTTATGTACCTATTCATTATGTGTATATTGTAAAACATTTACTGTATTTATATGGTTCATAGTTTATTTGCCAAAGTATTTATTACTATAAATAGGTATATATATATATTGTATTTATTAACTGTATATTATGTATATTTCATGTAAATTATATCATTTTTAAAATACAAATAAAAAATACGAGGAATAATTATGTTTTCCATGTATTCTACAACATATTTATTAATCCGTAGTATCTAACTAGCGTGACGTCATAAATCTCGCTCCGAGGCTGTTCTATTAGAGACGGCATTGGTCTGATATTTAGAAATGTCAAAAGCTGATGACATTTTACTTTTGACAATTACGACATTTTGTGTTGATTTTTGCAAGAAGAGGAAGAATTGTCACTTGTTTTATTATTTTCCTTTTCTATTTCACGAAAGTAAAAAGAGTTACCTACCTGATTCGTTCAGGCTATGTTCAGGCACTCAATTTAAAGAATATCAGTAACTTTTTTGACAGAGGAATTTTATATTTGCCATGTTGGTAAAACGGTAACGGTCAAAATTCAAAGTTATTCATTTTATAGACTATACTATACCTTACCATATCATAATAACAATACCTTAATAGTGGAATGCCCAGAGACTTTTACCTCGGAATTCAATTACTGTCAATGTATTAATGTGTATTGTGTTTTATAGATAAAATACTAAAATGTTTACCCATTTTTTTTCGTTGCTTTTAATTTTTTATTTTAGTAATTTTAGTAAATTCTTAATTATTTCCTTCTCTTAATATTTTGATTTTTTTAATTCTTTTTCTAAGTAAATTTATTGAAATAAATAAATCTAATACATAAGCTATACCTATTCTGCTTATATTCTAATCATTGAAATTTTGATTGAAATCGAATTATACAGGGTGGCGCGTCATATACGACGCGGTTTTTGCAAGGAGAACAAAAGTTTGTATTGAAGTGAAATTTTCTGAGCTTATGTAAGTCAATTTAAAGTATTCTCTAAAATTATGGAGAGTTCTACAGGGTGTCTGTGGCCTTCAGAAAGAGTTCATAGACAATCCGCATCAATGTATAATTTGGGTTATTATTTGTTTGGGTGAAAATAATCTGCACCAATATGTTATCGAGGCACATAATCTCTCAATAATTTAATAGATTGCTCGTCATATTATATCAGTTCGTAGGAGATTAGGAAAAAAAAGATATTTATAGTATGAAAAATTAATTTATTTAACAAAATTTAATTGTGTGTGTAAGATGTGACAAAATAGTTACTTTTCTATTGGTTCTATCGGACTTTTTTCGACCATATAAATATTTATTTTTTGTAAACTTTAATGCATAAAATATTTTCAATCTAGTAAATAATTTAATGATTTAAATAAGACTAGAATCATTTCTCACATGGGTGGTCAAATTCTATAGTTTTCATTATATCAAACAGCCTCTGAATGTTTTCTTCAGTGCAAAACTCATCAAAATTTAATATAAATAATTTTTCCGGCCTGTAAATAAAATGAACAAATTTTTCCACTTTCATGATCAAAGGCTTTTAAATGGGTAAATAATTTCGAGTTATCCAGAGATTCGGATTCTTTTGCAAATTTTAGACAAATATCACATTGATGTATTTGAAGACCCTTTTTAATGATGTAGTCAAACATAATTAAAGGCATTTTGAATTGAAAACATTTCTCAGAGGCTGTTTGATATAATGAAAACTATAAAATTTGACCACCCATGTGAGAAATTTCCTCTTATTTACATCATTAAATGATTTATTAGATTAAAAATATTTGATGTATTAAAGTTTACAAATAAAGATTTATATAGTCGAAAAAAGTCCGATAGAACCAATAGAAAGGTAACTATTTTGTCACATTTTTAATTAAATTTTGTTAAATAAATTAATTTTTTATACTATAAATATCTTTTTTTTTCCTTATAAATAAACACATTTGTATCCCATTTTAAATAAGATATACAAATTACCAAAACTTAGAAATAACAGTTCAAAAGTTCAACAAAAATCCTACACGCGTTTTTAAAAAGAAACATATAACCACGCACTATGTCACTCCAGCAAGCGAATACGACACAGCATGGGTTTCCGGACTAAACGACTGGTGTATTTACACCACTCAATAGGCGTGTCGGATTTGCCGAACGGTTTCCGATGCAGTCGCTTTCTTTCGCATATGTTATAGGTAATTTGTGCCTTTACTTTTGGGCCTAGTCAACACATCTAGTAAGTCCCGGTCCCGAAGCAGGCCTTCTTGACATAAGATTTGCTTCATTTAATCTTCTTTTTGTAGTCCGTTAGTTAATATGTACAGTTCTTAAGTGCAATTCATTATCAATTTAAAAAGCTGGCAAACGGCGGTTTCTTAGCGATAAACTTACAATAAGTCGATCGTCTCGATTAGAAGTTCTCATACGAAGGTTCCTGGACGTCTAGGTTGACGTCCTCATGGACGTGATCATAATTCAAAGACCATTTAATATACTCTATGGTATTAAGGTATTTTTGGAACCAGAATTTTATAGCAAATAATAATTACATGATATATATTTGACTCACCCTGTATATCTATAAAAATATTTTTGAAATGTGAACTACTATTAAACATATATTTTGTAAAATGTTTGTAGTGAAAATCTCAAATAGGAATCCTGATACAGAGCTTTTCCAGAAAAAGGTGCCATCTTGTATGTGTGTGTGAAAGCAACGAATTTAAATAGGTAAACTTTGTAATATATCTTATTAACAATACAATGCAAAAAGTTTTATAAAAATTCGTTCGCAGTAAATGAATTCCGAGGTTTGTATCTCATAAGGGCTTAAAGCACTCCACTATAAAAACAAAAACTGAGGTATCACTTCACTGAAACAGAGTGCATAATACTGTGACACCCGGTATATATACGTTATTGACATTGACACCAAAGTGATCGATGAGACATATAAAACATGTATAACCAATAAAGACAGTGACGTGCACGCCAAGGGATCTGTAATGATGAGATGAAATAAATGAGACAAATATATGAGAACGGACCAAAAAGGTTGCAAATCATTGAGCTTAGCCTTTGTACGTTTGTCAATGTCAAGAGAGAGAGAGAAAAAATAGAGGATTTGTTGGACGGAAGACGGATAGAAAGAGACAGGTACACACTCTGCTGTTGAATCTTAGCCTTTCCTAGTACTAGTACCGAATTTTAGAGAAAACTATCATAGAAAAACAATTTATTCTGTAATTTTGAACAAATACGGTCAAAAATCGCGGAAAAAAACAGATATATTTTCAAAAAAATGTCACAATAATATACAATGGTACTTCCTATATAATTCTAATAATTTATTAAAATATACAGGGTTATTCAATTATTCATCTCATTCAACACAGAGTACTGTAGCCAAAAAATTATTAGGTTTATAGAAATTGTAAGTGATGGCATCATTGGAGGACAACTATAGCTACAATTTAAAATTATTTTCAAAAGGTACAGAGTGACCCAAATAAATAGAAAATATCAATGTTGTATTTTCTTAAATGGGACACCCTGTATATTATTACATTTTTAGTTTCTACGATTAAAATAAAGGTAAATTTACCTTTATTTATTTTTTGTATTAAACCCCACTTTAATCTTACCGTTTCTGAAATATTTACGTTTTTGTGAAAATGCAATAACAATTTTAATGGTGTATTTAAGTTTTTAAAACCGAATATTGTACTGAAGTTTTTCCATTTACTAAATTTTGTGTTGCAATAATAAAAATTATACTACCTTATACAGAGTGCCTAAAAATTTATATTAAATTACTAACTTTAAACGGCAATAACTTGTTTAATTTAAATGGAACACCCTGTATATTTTACGTGGATCAGATGCACAATTTAATTGTCTATCAAATTGGATTATACCATTTTTTACTTATCTCTTCAAGTTTTTGTAGAAAATGCATTTTTATATAATTTAGACCTCATTTATCAATATTCTCATGGAATATTGACATACATACATATTGAATAACCCTGTATAACTCTTGATAAATAATATGAACTGTAGAATTCTTAAAAAATACCCTGTATAATATTATTGTTTCTTGTAATGTATTAGGAGATTATATTTCAAGAATTATATTATATATGAGATATTTCAACAAATATGAACAAATCCTACCTGTAATAGGCTGAGATGGTTGATGTTGAACATTACTAGAAGTACCTGGAATCTCTGATGACGTTGATTGACTTTCTATACTGTGTTGCAAAGCAACATCTTGTTGATGTTGTTGATGCTGAGGAACTTGCTGAAAAATTACCAATTATTTATGTATATCATTTTATTTAAAATAATTTCTTAAGACTTACCAATGTTATTTGATGCAATGTATCTCCCTCCACACTTTCATGTGAACCTCCTCTTTGCAAGTCTGTAGAATCCCTGCTTTTCTGTGTAACACTACATCGAAAATTTCTTTAATTACACAGAGATAACTTGGGATATATAAGGAATATTTTACCTGTTATCTGGGTACCCTCCTGGATCAGACTTTATAACAGAACTAAGAATGTTTTGACTTAAAATCAGTTCATTCTGTGGTGGTTCTATTACAGGCTCCTGTCTTTCTCCTGAGCCTGAACCCGATGAAGACTTTCTTAACCTTTTTCTACATAGAAAATAAAAAACAAAATTATTTCTAACCAATTTTATCTCATTTTTAACCAAAACCCACCTCCTGCTGCCGGGACTACAGGGTGAAGGAGTTGATGTTTGCAAAGGCATTCCATCCGAGCTCCAGTTTGAATCTTGTGCAGTTAGAAGTTCAGTTTTGTCCATACTGGTTGTCTTGTTAATAGTTTGTTCCATTGGAATTTCGGCTAGACCTTTTATTTTCAACATTTCTGCTGTTTTGAGTATGTATGGAAGCTGTTCTTGTGACACATTCACCTCGCCGTAGTACATAAAATCTACCATTATTTTTAGATCTATGAATTTAACATCCTTCAGGATCACGATGGGATGTTGGCAAGGGTTTACAGTAAACAATGACTGTAAAATAAACAATATAAATAATATAATCAAAGTATTTCTATATTTTACCTGAAAATATGAACTACAAGCGGACAAAACAACTTTATGAGCTTGAAGGTGCTTTCCTTCAGCAGCCAGAGTGACATCAACAAGAGATTCGTTACTTAGAAGACTAGAAAACACAGATATGAAGTTGGGTTGGTGGTTATTCCATCGAAGACAATATTGTTGCATGGCCATGATTGCTGATCTGAAACTACGAGACACAATATCTTAATATAACAACCAGTTTTGAGTATTGAGTGTTTGTATCTCCTAGAGAATCTCCTCATAAGAGTGTACTATATTTATGTTTCTAAGAATCGCAATCGCGAAATGTCTTTTTTATTTATTTTCCTCTAATGTTTATGTAAGCGATAGCTTTGTAAGAATGTTTTACGTAGTAGTAAATCAATAAATACCTTAGAATGACCCCTGAAAAATAACCTTGAATTTTTCAACCGCCTCAACAAACAACACAGACTTTCTTGCAAGACACTTGTAAAAGAAAATTCGATATTTTCCTCCTTCGGCTTGCCCGAGACACCAAAACCACGCGAATACACAGCGAATTAACGAGGAAAAAACGGAAAATTAGCTTCACCGAACACAGTAAAAAACAAAACCGACCATTTTTATTTTTGTGAGTGACGTAATTGTTTACGTCATTTGTTTTTTGGACATTGGGAGATTGTCATGCGTAGGCACAGGTTTAATTAGTTGCCTATAGCTAGAATAAACATGCACAAAAATTTGTAAATAATAAATTCATGTTTTAAACAGTTTATTAACTTAATATGATACAATTTCTATACTTAATTATTGTTTATCTCCAGTTTTTACTTCTTCAATTGCCGGTGGGGCGTTTCTGAATTTTGGAAATTGTTCCCAAGGAGCTGATAATTCAAACCTTCTAAACTCTTGAGCCAGTTCCAAGGGCTCAATGACAACCCTCTTCTTCTCATCGTCGTACCTCACCTCTACATATCCACTCAAAGGGAAATCTTTTCTGAACGGATGCCCTTCGAAACCATAGTCAGTCAGAATTCTTCTCAAGTCTGGATGGTTAGCAAAGAACACTCCGTACATGTCCCATATTTCCCTTTCATACCAATTGGCTGCTTTATGTACCTCATTGCAAGAGTCTATTGGAGTCAGTTCATCTGTGTAAGTCTTTACACGAATCCTGGAGTTAAATCTTACCGACAAAATATTGTAGATTACCTGTAATTATATGAATAGACTTATTCTATGACTTTTACATTTAAAAAACTGTTATACCTCAAATCTGTAAGGTCTGGAAGGTACGTCCATGCCAGCAATGTCAGTCAAGTTAGTGAATTGACTGTTGTGATGGTCTTTCAGGAATTGTAGTACTGGAACGACTCCTTCCGGTACTATAAGCAGTTCCAGTTCGTCTCCGGCAGTGATCTGTACTCTCTGGATGTATTTTGGAAGGCAGTCGGCAACATATTTACCGAAATCAGTGAGTTGACTGCGAGCAATGAAGTCAAACTTCCTCACAGTGGCTATGAAGTTGGTTTTTGATTAAAACTGAATGAAAAGAACGTTAAATACTCACGCCTAGTCTCTGCAGGAGGAACTTTGTCAGCAGCAGTGCTCTGAAGTCTCGTTACACTTGATACCACTGAAAATTATTATATAATAAGGCATGTTATGTTAAAAATTCGTATAAACAATTACCTCCATTTTGTACTGTTGGAGAACGAATGGTTTTGGTAATTTGCCTTAAAATCGAAGCCATTTCTCCAGTAAAATCGTGTTACCTAACAAAAATATTGACAAATCTGTCAGGAAAAAAAAGTGTGGTTAAGTTTTTTGACGAGCTGTCAGTATTGGGTCATTTGAACTACAGTTCAGAGTCATAAATAAATAAGTATAGTGTCGGGGGGCTATTTCAACTACTAGCGTATACCTCAGAGTAACAAATAATTAAATTAAATTATTTTTTTATTAAATTTCTATTCAGGTTATTGTTTTTTTCTACAAAATCTTCGCTATATTTTGGTTCTTGGTATCGTTTTTGTTAAATAAAATAAAAATTATACTTTGTCTCTGACCTTGGTAAATTTTAAGCATCGCACATCGATTTTTAAGTGTATGCCCAAAAAAGGAAGACAATTCCGAAGCACCCTTGACCTTTCGAAAGTTCAGATCATCCCCTGGAATTCTGAGAAATGGCTCGATGCAGGGGGGAAGCGTTCCAGAAAAGTTTTTGCGATACAGACTGGGATTATTTGAAAAATATCCTATTTTATGTAAAGGGATTTATGTTTAAATTATTCTTCGTGCAGTGAAAATTCTTGAATTTATATGAAAAACAAAATTTGAAAAACCCTTTTCTTTGGTTGAAGGCGATTTTCCAAAAAATCGATATACTTGGATAGGGGGACGATAACTAAATTACGTAACTTACGTCATACAGTTTTCTTGGAAAAACGATGCTGCTTTCCTTTCCTGGAAAACCTCGTCACAGTCTTATTATTCAATGAACCTAGCCAAAGAAATATATGGAATTCAATTTTTCATTTGATAAAATTAAAATTTTCTTAGTATATTTTCTAAAGAAGTTTTTAGTAGTAAAAATTCATTAAAATTGACTTTATAGATGTCTTAATAGTGCATTATATGCAATTTTAAGAACAAATTGAGCGTAATTATAGAAAGTTTTACTGCCAAAAACACATAATGTCTTTTTAAAGATCGTTAAATGTGTCGATAAACAGGTAGAAATAACCTGTTGGAAGATAAGCCCAAAAGTTGTAGAGATTCAGATGCAGTGAGTCACAACTTCACTCCATATTCAACATTCCGCATACAAAATAGTAAATCAACGACGGCTTGTAAATATTTAAATAGGTTCGTTTAGATTTCTTTATGATTTTTCACCATCAGTTTGGAGCAACCAGAATAATGGTGGAATATATTTGTCACGGATTCGTTAATTTCTTCCGGGTTTATACAGAGGGGATCTAAGAAACGGTAAGAGATACAGAGTGGATTAAATGAGAGTAAAGTTGCCGGTCAGTGAGCTCAATGGTAATCGGTTTAGTAATTATTGAACTTATCTTTGTCATTTCCGGAAATATGGCGGTAAAACTGAAATTTCCGGTTTTGGTTTTTATTTTTTTACGAGTTTATTATCATAAATGAACAGTGCTTTCCATAAAATTAATAAAATGAAAAATATACGAAATAATATACATGTACTGATTTCTTTCGAAAATCGACAGCTATGAAACTATATGATCCCTTCCCCGACACAAACGGTACTTACATTGTGAGACAGGAAATTGTAGAGAAACAAGCCCTATAACATAGTATACAACATTTTAATGAATAGTGCTTTCCATAAAATCAATAAAATAAAAAATATACGAAATAATATATCTACATGTACTGATTTCTTTCGACAATCGACAACTATGAAACTATGAAGCCTTCCTGGTCACAAACGGTACATTGTGAGACAGGAAATTGTAGAGAGGAACAAGCCCTATAACATAGGATACAACATTTTAATGAACAGCGCTTTCCATATAATCAATAAAATGAAAAATATACGAAATAATATATCTGTACGGATGTTTTCCGAAAATGGAGGAACAAGCCCTATAACATAGGATACAACATTTTAATGAACAGTGCTTTCCACAAAATCTACAAATGCATTCTCAAAGAAACTTATTCAGCGTTATCCTTTGGCGACGTAAAAAATCACTTAAAACGTTACTTTTTTCTGACACCATCATTTTTTTTAAATACCTATGTTTTTTTTATTTCTTTTTTTTTGAAGCTTATGACATGACGTCCCAAATACAATAAAAAATAAAATAAAAAATCCAGGTATATAAAAAAAAACAAAGTTGTTAATGCTCCCAAAGAAACAAGACGTCCTAAAGCCCTAAGTGTCAGCGACTTCTCTTTTTTGTCTAAATATTAATTTTATGTCATTAAGTAATGTGTTGGTAAGTTAATTATTGTTTTAAAATATAATAAAAAAATAAATTATAAATCGTAGGGGGGTAATTACCTCCATTACCCTCCCCTACGCTTCGCCAGTGCGTCATTCATAGAAAAATCAAAAGTTTTCGTCCCATATTTCACTCAGTCTTATGTCCGAAAAAAGAAAGACCGTAAGCTTTTTTGACAGCGATCTTTTTCTATGCCTGCTGTATATTATTCCACCTGTGAGGTGAGTCATAGGGCCCTTTGTAACGCAAGTTAAGTCTCCTTCATGCCCTTTGCCCCTCCCATACACCTCTTGCACCTCGAACGACTTCACAAGTGGCCGACAGGTTCAGGTCGTGTACAGGGTGGATCAAGTGGAAATTTGAAAAAATTGTGTTTTTTATAGTGTTTTTTTCTTTACTATAATGTTCGGTTCGGGTGGTATAAACTATTTTAATGACACAAATTGTCATTAAAAGGTACAAAAATTTATAATACCGTATGATCGAAAAAAAACGGCGTCCAGTTGGCTTGGAAATGACGATCGATGACATTTCCCATATAATTTTACATATAAAATGTCAGCGATCTTCATTTCATAGCCATCGTTGACGCCGTTTTTATTCGATCATACAGTATATTATAATCTCTAACTATTTTTATAATACCTAGAAGTAACACATTTTAGTCTTTTGTTCCTATATAGGTATAATAAATTTTACAACAGTTTCGACACTTTCTCTCTTCAAACAGGAACCGATATCAGGTAGAATTATCATATTTATTAGATATTAATACCTGCTCATAAAAGTTAATTTGGGATCAGAGATTTTAAATTCTTCCTAGAAACCATTTTCTTAAAATTATAATAACGTTTAAATTAAAATTATAAAACTGAAGAATATTATGTAAAAAGTCAACAGAAATGACTATATAACACAATTTTATAGTCGGTATAGGTATTATAAATGCAGCAGAACGACGCGGGGTTTTTTCCATTGTGTTTTTCGAAGACCTTTTGCCAAGGTACACATTTGTACCTGTTTCGGAGGATGTTAGGTGAACCCAAACAACTCGCCATGTCTAATTACCATCATGGTATCCCTCGGTCCCGGTCATAGCCACTCAGCACCAATAAAATAGGTGACCAAAGCTATTTAGCGAGTGGACCAAATCAGGAACACTTGATTATACATTCAATTGAAAAAAATTGCGAAATTTTTGGTGAGCTCTAATACAAAATAAAGGGAAAGACTTGAAACCAATATACAATATTTAGTTGTCAGAATATGGAAACACTCAGTATGAGCCTTAAATAAGTGCAAATATTTTCAGGGCTGGTCGATCTCGATAAAAGAAACATATTTTCTCTATACCGTTTTTCAAATAAGTCCAAAATAACCGAGTTATTCTACTTCGAAAATAAAAAAAAATATATTTTTTGCTTAAACTTTGAGAACCACTGGATCTTGTCTGAGTTTTCCTTCTTGTAAATTTAATCTATTACTTATACCGGGTTTTGCATCGTCGGACGGGACATAGGAAATCCCATGTAAATTTTAATGGGGTCAATTATTGGCTTCCCTAATTATTTTAGAGAATAATTCTATTTAGGTTTATTGAAGAGCACTAAAACCCACGTTCAAAAGAATAACTTTAGATATTTTTGATTAGCTCGTTTACGAGTTATCGCCGATTTCTTTTTAAATATTTCTCCTTTCTTATGGCCCTGTATTTACTTATGAGCACCAGTCAAGGTAAAAGATAACTGTCAAATGAAGTTGTCATTTCAGAAATTTACCTATTTAGTGCTTTATTATTATTGAAAACTCATTCCCACATCGGAAATCTTAAAGATGTATTTATAAATACAAATTAACATGAATTAAAGTAAAATAAAGTAATCAATTACAAGGTTAATTATAGTATTATTACAATATTCAATAATTTATTAATTTAGGTACTATTAAATTGTTAGAACTTTAGGATTTAAGAAGATGTTCAAATATTCCTCCATCGACTGCTAGACAATAACACAGGCGATCATAAAATTCTCTTCTTACATTCGCTAGTTGGTAAACGGAAATTCTATTGCATTCGGCAGAAATAGCATTTTTTAACTCGTTTAGATTTGGGTATTTTTTATCCTTGTATATACTGTTTTTTAAATGGCCCCTGAGAAAGAAATCATTTGGCGAAAAATCAGGAGACCTTGCTGGCCAATTTACTGTATGATTTAGGACAATAACGTTTCCGTTAAAACTATTTTCTAAATATTCCCGAACAGCCAGGGTACTATGTGCCGGGCAGCCATCCATTTGGTACCAAACTTCCTGATTTTCCCTAGCGGCATCATGAAAAGCAGGTAAAATATGATTTTCGAGTAGTTCCAAATAATATTCTGCATTTAAATTTCGCGTAAGAAATAATGGCCCGATAATATTGTGTCCGAATATCCCTGCCCAAACATTTACTTTCTGTGGATATTGCGTCCTTGTTTCGACAAACCTGTGTTGGTTTTCTTTGTTCCAATATCGATAATTTTGAACATTGGGTTTATTATTTAAGGTAAACGTGAATTCGTCAGTGAAACATATGTTTTTTTAAAATTCCCTATCTGTGTTTGCTCTTTCCATCATATCAAAACAAAACGCCTGCCACTGTATTTCGTCCCCATCTCGTAGCTCTTGGTGCTGTTCATATTTGAAGGAATAGTATTTATGTCGTTTCAAAATTCGAAACGCTGTAGTGTGATCTATTCCTATTTCATCCTCAAGTTTCCTTGTGCTGATCTTTCCATCATTCTCTTCCTCGCACAATAAAATTTCCAAGTCGGTATCATTTCTTGCATCTTCTCTTTGTTCCTGCCTTGCTTCACATCTGCAGTTATTTATTAGGGTATCTTTGGTCTCAAATCTCTGGATATTCCTTGCGATTGTAGATTTTACAGGTATCGGTCTATTCGGATACAGAGCAGCAAACATGTCCGATATCTTTTGATAACTATTTCCTTGATAATACCATTTAATCATCAATACTTTTTCTTCGGTAGTCTAATTCATGGCTAATATTTTCGATGTAGGTATGAGTTTTTAATAATAATAATAAAGCACAAAATAGATAAATTTCTGAAATGACAACTTCATTTGACAGTTATCTTTTACCTTGACTGGTGCTCATAAGTAAATAGAGGACCATAAGAAAGGAGCAATTTTTAAAAAGAAATCGGCGATAACTCGTAAACGGGCTAATCAAAAATATCTAAAGTTATTCTTTTGAGTGTGGGTTTTAGTGCTCTTCAATAAATCTAAATAAAATTATTCTCTAAAATAATTAGGGAAGCCAATAATTGACCCCATTAAAATTTACATGGGATTTCCTATGTCCCGCTCGACGATGCAACACCCGGTATGTTGCCACATTATCAAGAAATTATGTTTTTTTTTAACTTAAAACTAAAAACACAACTCCAAATTTTAATCCGTGTTTCTAGGGCAGAAATATACTACCCCAAAAATATTTGCACTTATTTCACCCTGTATAAAAATAACTACTGTGATAGATACAGTTTCAGCACTTCATGAGATAAGGGTTGTACTTGTAGGGAACTCTCAACAATTTTTTCCGATTTTTCAGTTACGCCTTTGCGTAAGACAGGGGTTGATATGATCAAAATAATCAAAATAGGGTTTCTATGGTAAATTTTAAGCATTTTTATGGTGCGGGTTGTCCTGTTTCACCCAACAAAACCATCCATCTTCGCCGGTCGCAGTTTATTATCCTTTTTCCATCTTTTTCTTTGTTTTCCGCTCTTTTTCATCACCGCGTCGGAGCCACTACCGTCGCGCCATCTAGACGAAGACAACTATCTACTCTTCCCCTAACATTTTCACTAAAAACACCCATATTTTATCGAATTTCCATTGGAAAAACATAAATTTAACGTTTTCCCATCAAAATTTCGTCTAAAAGTTCGGTTTTTCTTTGAAAAAATCAGATTAAAATGGGTTTAAGGTTTTCCGGAGTAGTTCAGGATCAGTTCAGGAGTGTTAAAACGATCGAACCTCTTTCCGATGTTGATGGCCACAATAGCATATAGACGGAAAAGAAGGGAATTCAGTTATTGAACGGTTTCTTTGACGGAACGAGCGCGTACAGTGCGCCATATTGTTGCGCGCTGCTCAGAAATTCACAGCAGGATTGTGGGTGTTTTTGTGAGAGTGTTCGTGCTAAAATCCTGCTTAAAAACACTACTCCTTTTAGTGATTCCCGCGATTTCACCCCTTTTATGTATGGATAAAACCTCTGTGTAGCATGGGCATGGTCCCGAGTTGTGTGAAAGTGCGCTAAAGATCGTCGGTCACCACAGTAATATTATTATTATGCAGCAGTTTGTGTTGTAAGGGATTTTTCTTCTCAACTTGTTCAAAGAAAAGGTAAATAAATATTTTAATATGGTTTGGAGGAATTTTTTATTTACATGGGTGCGAAATATAATATGTTATGCAAGGTATATTTGCTAATTGGTGTGGAATGGACGGTCGAGATTCCTATAGTAGGTCACGCCATGAACGCACCTATGATATGTTGAAAAAATATTATTTTTTTTTAAATTGATACTGATCTATATACGTATAGTTTCTCTTAGAGTTACATATATTACAGATAGAAAAAATAAAGTAGCACTGCCTAAAGTTATCTGAAATTAAATGCAAACTAAAGCAGGTCTACTTCAGTTAAAAAAAAGATTTGTATCAAGATTAGTAAAAGAATATAAAGAAAATCTATGTATCTATAAGTTATTCAATGGTTTGAAATGGTTATGAATGTTTCTATTTTGACATTATTTAAAAAATATCTATTTTTTTTAAATAAATAACTATTTTTCTTTGAAGGATTTTCTAATTATTATTGGCTGACCTTACTGAGCTTATAAATTAGAAATTTTTAAACGATTTTGACTGTATTAATATCTGAACATTGCTAATTAGATGTATCCAGCTAAAATAATATAATTAAATATGTTTTTGAAATTCCAAATTAGAGTTTTTAAGTCATTTAATATTTATTTAGGTGAAAATTCGCTTGTAGGGTATAGTTTAATTACTATAGCTTGTTATGGATAAAGTTAATTGTGCGTTACGCATTTTGCGAAATCGGTACCGAACGTTAAAAACCGTTAATATTATTATTACACAAATAAAAATATTATCTCTAATCGACAGCAAGATATGCATTTCATACATTTCGATATTATGATTTTTTTTATATCTATAGTGCATACAGAAATACTTGAAATATATAGAAACATATACAGAAAATACTATTTTCCTGTGAATCAAAAAATGTCTCGGATAACTGTCACTGTCGTGTATCTTGTCTTTGGACAGACTAAACATAGAGAAATATCTCTTGTTGCAATAGCCACATAGGTCATTTTCAATGTTTTTTAATGTTTTATTTCATGTATAGTCCGTACAGAAATGCTTGAAACACATGATCCAAAGTACGGATGTTCTTTTCTACTGGCCAGACATCTAGAATTACTCTGATTTGGATACGAATAAAAATAGGTATTCTCTCGAATCGACAGCAATATTACTTTCATACATTAAAATTACATAAGTTCAAGATTCCAAATCTAAAATAATATTTCTGTTACTATAACAGCCACGTAGGTAAATTTTATGAATGTATTTCGAATTTTTAAAGTTTTTTCCATGTATAGTTCGTACAGAAATGCTTGAAACACTTGTTCTAAAATACGCATATTTTTTCATTGGCTAGACGTATAAAGAGACTCTGATTTGGTAGAAATATTCTCCCGAATCGACAGTCTTATGACTTTCATACTATGATATTTTATTTTATTTACCTAGGTATAGTGCACACAGAAATACATGAAATATGCATAATACGTTAAGTTCAACATTTTAATTAGTCACGTAGGTAATTTTCATGTATTTTGTACTTTTGAAATTTTATATAGTTCGTACAAAAATGCTTTAAACACATGATTTAAAATATGGATTTTTTTGTTGGCTATTCGTATATTGGGTACACGTATTATTGAATTAGAGACAATATTTTTATCCGTGTACAATATGGTACTAGTATTAAAGTGAACGGCTAAGAAACTATCACATCTGGTCCAAAAGCGGTACTGCTAACGTAAACTAGACCGTTTACGTAATATTTGCACGTTTTTTTCTTTGCCTAGAAGATTGTAAAAAATTCGATGCGGACCATAAGGGATTTGAAAGGTTTAAGTGTGTACAGGGTGGTTTACAATATATTATACTGGATGTCTCAATAACCCTGTTAAAATGGAGTAATTTGTTGCTATAGAAACTTTAGAAGTTTGCATTTTTAGAGTAGTAAATAGACTTAAAAATATATTAAATAGTAGTACCCAATCTGATACAACTTTCGGTTGATTATGGGTAGTGGCACTGGTTTTTTTTGAGTTAAAATGACATTTAACAGCTGTCTATGGTAGAATTCTAATTCTTGACAGAGATTACTCTTGGTTTTGTCTACATAAGATATATTTTACCATTCAAACGAATGTTTAACTTAAATTCTTTATTGACATTTTTATGTTGAAATATGTTAACATGGTTTAAGATATTTTAAATATCCTGTAATATATATGGGGTGTTGTTTAAAATCGTACAGTTAATGTAATAGTAATTGTTCTAGCGAATTTTTATTATAGTTAAGTAAATTTATTCTTAACTTCGTATTTGTGACTGAATTCTTTCCTTGGAATACTGGGAACGCTCGGTATATTACACTCTCAAAAATTCCATTTTTGTCGTTTTATGTTGCAGTAGTTCGGGCCTACTATGCACACTCCCGAAGGAACTCTGGAAAGGGGAGTTTTGCCACCCAGTTCAGCACCGGCGGTACTACAGCCGACGTTTCGAAGAGACGAAGACGATGAAGGGTGTGTTTTGTCACTGCCCAATCAGGACGAATTGGATGCTGGCTGGTGAGTATCTTGTATAAAGAATGAAAAAAAAAAAGATGAAAATTGCCAGTACAAAGCCTAGAACGTTCAGTGTTCAGTGCTATGCTATACAGCTTGGTTTTCCTGTTGCGATTGTATCGACGTTAGTACCATGGGAAACAGTACCTTGCTCTTCATTGTTCTCATTTTTTATTTTATTCGTCTCTCTTTTGTTCGAACTGTTTTAATTTTCTTTATTTCGTTGTGCTTGTTTATCACTTGCAGGCTGTGTAAAATATTTTAATGCATAAATTAAGACAACCGATGTTTCAACCCATTCCATGTTTGAAACATTTGTCTAAAAAATATATTTAAAGATATTAGACTACTCTTGTATTTTTAAACATGCCTTTGTTCTTATTTTTCATTACCAATTTTACCATAAAAATAGTTGGAATTAGTAATCAAGAACTAAGTTTAAATTTATAATACAGTTAGTATTAATCTTTGTTTTTCTTTATTTCCATGGTATAATAATTATGCATACATCATATCATAATTCAGCTAAAGTCTATCCAGCCCGAGAATACATGACAGTGACACTTGTGTCACTGTCATTTTAACTGACAGGTACATTGTATTTTCTGTCATTTTTTTGGTGTCATCTGTCAAAATCTTCCCTGATTCGTTAATCAGACTTTAGTTTCCCAAAATAACAATAAAAAATGTATTTCTATCTAAATGAAGCATAAAAATTGGAAAAGGGTTATTGAAACACCCTGCAGATATATGATTTTTACCTCTTTTTAGAAGGGATGAAATAAAAAGGGATTATATCAGGGGGATTTAATAACCTAACCAGATTGTTATGTTTATCGCACGATTTGTCAAGGACGTCGCACAATAATTGACAAAATAAACAAACAAAATGCGATAAAAGCGCAGAAGAATTGAACGTAATCATTGGGAACAAGCGAGTAGGTTTACAAAGAAGCTAATAACACTTAAATGATGATTTTGCAAAAATATTATTAGATTGGTTAGGATTTGGGTTGCTTCGGTTAGCTTTTCTTTGTGGAGGGTGTTAAGCTGTGGTTTTTATATTTTAATAATTAACTGTGATTTTGTAAAAATAGTATTAGATTTATTATTAGATTGGTTAGCATTTTAGACACTTTTAAATGATTTTTTTTGGTTCAAAAGTGATGAACAGATAATATTTTATGTATTTATGCTTACAAAAATGGAAAATGGAAATCAAGCATTTCCGCAGGAAATTTTTTATTTTCCTGAGTTTGTAAGCGCTTCTAAAAGGCAAAAATATATTTATTTTTCATATAACTGATTTCAGCTATTCTAAAGTCTATTAAATTTCCTCAGAAAATGGATACAGTTTATTTCCGCAGGAAAATTTTTATTTTCCTCAATTCGTGAATGTTTCTAAAAGGCAAAAATATATTTATTTTTTATATAACTGATTTCAGCTATTCTAAAGTCTAATAAATTTCCTTAGAAAATGAAAACAGCTTATTTCCGCAGGAAAATTTTCGTGGTTATATTGTTCAGAAAAATATTAAAATTAAAACGCAAAATGTATTTTTTTTATAGCAGATTTCAGTTATTCTAAAGTGCGAAATTTGGAAATTACGCATTTCCGCAGGAAAATTTGTGTTTTCCGTGGTTCATAGTAGCTTTTTAAAGACACATTTTTTTTTCTAATAACTGATTTCAGCTAAACGAAAATTGACCCTTCAAAGATACTACCTACAGTGGTGGCCAAAAGTATGGAAACTTTTTTAATTTGTCATTTAGGCTGAGAAATTAAAATATGAAATAAAAAGACTTATATAATCGTGACCTACAAATAATTTCCTACAAAACCTAATACATTTAAATAAAAAATTACAGGTATCAAAAAATATATAAAAAATTATGAATATTTTCTTGGTCAAAAGTATGGAAACTTAAGAAGAATGTTTATTAAAATTCAAGATAATATAAAAATTACTAATATTTAGTGGAATATCCCTTTGAATTAATTACTTCTCTACATCTTCGTGGCATCGAATCGATCAATCTCGTACAATCTTTATTGGAAATGGCCGCCCATTCAGTTTTTAGCACTTCCCATAATTCATTTTTTATTTGAAATAGAATGGCTTCGAATTTTGCTATCCAAATGGTCCCTAAATTTTCTATGGGGTTAAGATCCGGAGACTGTGAGGGCCAATCCATTAGTGGAACATTATGTTCATTTAACCAATTTTGAACAAACCGAGATTTGTGCTTGGGATCATTGTCTGGCTGGAACAACCATCTGAGTAGCATTTCTTCATCAGCATGAGGCAGCATATTATTCTCCAATATGTCTTTGTACAAAAAACGGTCCATTATCCCATCAATTTTAACAAGAGGACCAACACCTGAGCGAGAAAAACACCCCCATACCATTATACTCCCACCCCCATGTTTTACTGTGGGCATCTGGTACTTGTGTCTGTACCGTGTACATTTTGGTCTTCGGACATAATGTCTCCCGTCACTACCAAACAGTTGAAACTTGCTTTCGTCGCTAAACAGTACAGTATTCCATTTCTGATAAGACCAGGTGAGATGATCTTGAGCAAATTTAAAGCGGGCCATCCTATTTTTCTTTGATATCAGTGGTTTCTTCACCGCAACTCTTCCAAAAAGTCCCATGTCATCCAACCTTCTTCTCACCGTGCGTGCAGACACCGATATTCCCCTTTCACCCATTTCTCGAGAAATGTCTGTGGATGTTTTTCTTGGATCTCCCATTGATATTCTCTTCATTACTTTCATTGTCCTGTTACACAACTTTCTTGGTCTTCGTTTTATTAAATTTATGAATTATTTTCGAAACGGTGCCTTTTAAAATGTTTAAAGTTTTACTTATTTGAATTTGTTTATAACCGCTCTTGTATAATTCAACTATTTTATTTTTTAAATCCGTAGAGAAATATTTAGACTTGGGCATGATGTTTATATTTATCTGAAGCAAATCGTACCGTTTATCAGCTTAAACTAAATAATTTTAATGTATTTATTTATGGTTTCCATACTTTTGGCCACAAGAAATCTATTGTTCTCCTACAAAAACTGCTAAACAGATTTTTTTCGCTGTGTAATTTTTGGAATACTTTTATTTGCTGATAAGCTGTTCATTTATATTCCTGAAAGTTTAAGCATAGCAATATTTTCTGTGATATTTTAAAAAGTAAAAAGTTTCCATACTTTTGGCCACCACTGTATGTTGTTTCTATCGGGCAGTACCGTCAATTCAGCAGACTTGCACCGATGTAAACGTATTCATTACATTTTATCGGGACAATCCACCGAGTCGAACGAACGCTTCAGTACCTTGTGACCGGAGATAAACCCAAATCCGATTCCTCATTGGCGGGTACCACTCCGTCCGTAGCTTTTCAGTTCGTACAACTACGTGGTCGGTACACCGTAGTACTTAACGCACGAAAAATTCTGTCAAAATTCCTTATTTTTCGTGCGAGAAAAACTCCAAAAAGTACCTCAAAGTTTCGGATAGTACTGTCGAATTTTCCGATGTTCAAGGCTAGTGTTTCCTCATGTGCAGCTATCTATCTAGTATTTTCGGTGTTATGAAGGTACCAAGCGTGAAGCCTGGACGAGTTTTGAGCGTGTTCACAGTGGAAGAGTACTCGAATAACGCAAATAGGTTGGTTGGATATGTTTAAAAATAATTAATTTGTAAAAAAATCAGGTTAAAATACTTTTATATCGAAAACACAGACAGAGATAAAAAAAAGTTCTTATCTTTCCAATGTATTTTCAGTAAACTCTTGACGTATTACAGCGTCATAAAATAATAGTACCACCTTTAGTGCGTGATGTGATTAAATTAAAATTATCATAATATATTGACACGCGTTTTGGGGATCTCCATATTCGGGTATGGCGAGCTAAATTTTTTCTCCTTTTGGATTGCGCAATGGTATTTTATTATTATTAATTTGTTAATTAAATACTTTATTTTAGATAGTTTAGTTATCTCTAGATTGAAAAAAATATATATCGGCCTAATTAAATGAGATTTTTGAGTATAAAAATTCCGTAGATTGGAGTTTGTGTTATCTATCTGTATCTGTAGTAGTAGCGGAACTCAAGTGGGGATTTTGAGATCCTTTTTTTATTTTTTATGGAATGTTTAAAAATGAAAAAATTGTATTTTAGGCCCCCATACTATACGCTGTAATTAACGCTGTACCAAAGTTTACAGGCTGCACTGAATGTTGATAAAATTGTTGTGAACAAAAGAATTGTGTGTTATTGTTGTTTTTATTGGTGTTGTTGTAGGTCCAGCATGATGTTTTATCGAATTGATTGCTGTTGAATATTATTTTACCTCAAGATAAAAACGGGTATTTAGATAAAAATATTATTGATTGAAGTAAAATTTACTGTTAATAAAATGACGTATTTTCGGTACATATACTTGCCATGTTTTTAATTTGTGGCTAAACGGAATATTTTTCTAAAGATTTTTTAAAAGATGGGTTTTTTGATTTTTTTTATTCGTTCTACGTATTACTTGCAGGGTTCATAGTAGTTTAAAATCTGTTGAAATTTATGTTGATTCTTAAATCATCGGAATTTCAAGTTTCAAGGTTATGTCAAATTTAGCTAAATTTTCGCTATTTTATGTCCAATAAAATTAAACTTTGAAAATTTAAAATTTCCTAATATTTCTATTTCTAAAACTCCTTTATTAATACTTGCTTCTCTGGACAGAGACAATATTTTACTACTATTGTGAATTTTATGTATCGTAACAATCTTCAGACGCATAAAAAAAGTCCCGAAAGGTCCTAAAAACCTCCCTATCGTTTCCGAAAGGGCCGAAAATTCCTCTTTAATTACATTACTGTATGCACCCTAAAATAGTTCTTTTTTTCTCTCTCTCTGTATGCACTTGGGGTCGTGGATGTCTCTTGGGGTGAACGCGTGTCACAGGTCGGTAAATAATAAAAATTACTTTTTCTTTCTCAGCACACTCTGCTTCCCCTACTTTTATAAGGGTGAAATAAAAGGGAATCTTGTTAGGAGATATCTAACGCCTACATAAAAATAAATGTGAAAATAGGGAGGATGTCTGGGAAAAAATAGGTAGATATTGACCACACCAAGATATAAAATGTAGCCTGTAAATCGTACGACAAGTCTTTGCATGTAGACCCCGTTTTATATGCAGTCAAAAAGGTTCAAAGACACAAAAAAACAATTTGTCTAACTACCTTCGCCTTGTGAGAAAAATGTTGCTGTTCCACATTGCTCTTTCTTGAAAGCATATCACCCTGAGATTAATAATAATAATAAAAATACTCGTACAAGGCAAATGGTCTGATTTTCGCAGCGTTTGTGAGGTAAACCAGATAATTTTTGCGTAAATGATGCTCTCGTTGATAGTGGCAACAGATAAAAAGATTTGGTAAGATCAGATATCATTCTTAAATAGTAGTCATCAATATATTTAAATTTTATAAAAATTGCGTCCTTAACTATAAACTATGTATAATCAGAATAGATACATACATTTGGGCATACACGTGTAAAATCGGCAATTATAATTATAAATAAATCTATATTTAAACAAGAATTATTGTATTAGTTTAAAGGAATCTTAATTTTGACCTCAAAGTTCAATGATTTGTTTATGCATTTTATTATAATTATTAAAAATTGTTTGAGATATTTAGAATGTACATCTGTTCGATATACCGGGTGTTGCATCGTCGGACGGGACATAGGAAATCCCATGTAAATTTTAATGGGGTCAATTATTGGCTTCCCTAATTATTTTAGAGAATAATTCTATTTAGGTTTATTGAAGAGCACTAAAACCCACATTCAATAGAATAACTTTAGATATTTTTGATTAGCTCGTTTACGAGTTATCGCCGATTTCTTTTTAAATATTTCTCCTTTCTTATGGCCCTGAATTATGAGCACCAGTCAAGGTAAAAGATAACTGCCAAATGAAGTTGTCATTTCAGAAATTTACCTATTTAGTGCTTTATTATTATTGAAAACTCATTCCTACATCGGAAATCTTAAAGATGTATTTATAAATACAAATTAATATGAATTAAAGTAAAATAAAGTAATCAATTTCAAGGTTAATTATAGTATTATTACAATATTCCATAACTTATTAATTTAGGTACTATTAAATTGTTAGAACTTTAGGATTTAAGAAGATGTTCAAATATTCCTCCATCGACTGCTAGACAATAACCCAGGCGATCATAAAATTCTCTTCTTACATTCGCTAGTTGGTAAACTGAAATTCTATTGAATTCGGCAGAAATAGCATTTTTAACTCGTCTAGATTTGGGTATTTTTTATCCTTGTGTATCCTGTTTTTTAAATGGCCCCAGAGAAAGAAATCATTTGGCCAAATATCAGGAGATTTTGCTGGCCAATTTACTGTATGATTTAGGCCAATAACGTTTCCGTTAAAACTATGGTCTAAATATTCCCGAACAGCCAGGGTACTATGTGCCGGGCAGCCATTTTGGTACCAAACTTCCTGATTATCCCTAGCGGCATCATGTAAAGCAGGTAAAATATGATTTTCGAGTAGTTCCAAATAATATTCTGCATTTAAATTTCGCGTAAGAAATACTGGCCCGATAATATTGTCACATCCCCGCCCAAACATTTACTTTCTGTGGATATTGCGTCCTTGTTTCGACAAACCTGTGTTGGTTTTCTTTGTTCCAATATCGATACTTTTGAACACTGGGTTCATTATTTAAGGTAAACGTGCATTCGTCAGTGAAACATATGTATTTTAAAAATTCCCCTATCCGTGTTTGCTCTTTCCATCATATCAAAACAAAACGCCTGCCGCCGTATTTCGTCCCCATCTCGTAGCTCTTGGTGCTTTTCATATTTGAAGGAATTTATGTCGTTTCAAAATTCGAAACGCTGTGGTGTGATCTATTCCTATTTCATCCTCAAGTTTCCTTGTGCTGATCTTTCCATCGTTCTCTTCCACGCACAATAAAACTTCCAAGTCGGTATCATTTCTTGCATCTTCTCTTTGTTCCTACCTTGTTTCACATCTGCAGTTATTTATTAGGGAACCTTTGGTCTCCAATCTCTGGATATTCCTTGCGATTGTAGATTTGCCAGGTATCGGTCTATTCGGATACAGAGCAGCAAACACGTCCGACACCTTTTGATAACTATTTCTTTGATAATACCATTTAATCATCAATACTTTTTCTTTGGTAGTGTAATTCATAGCTAATATTTTCGATGTAGGTATGAGTTTTTAATAATAATAATAAAGAACTAAATAGATAAATTTCTGAAATGACAACTTCATTTGACAGTTATCTTTTACCTTGACTGGTGCTCATAACGGCGATAACTCATAAACGGGCTAATCAAAAATATCTAAAGTTATTCTTTTGAGTGTGGGTTTTAGTGCTCTTCAATAAACCTGAATAGAATTATTCTTTAATATAATTAGGGAAGCCAATAATTGACCCCATTAAAATTTACATGGGATTTCCTATGTCCCGCTCGACGATGCAACACCCGGTATGTACATGTAGCTTATTTCTTTCATAGAACTCGAATTATCGAAAGCTTATTTTGATAATAAATTTACTTAGAATTATTGATTATATTATTGTTTTAATAAATATATCCGTAACTGAAAAAAATGTTTTTTTTTTTCAATACAAATCACTTAAAGAAACTCTTGAGATATACAGATAACTCTTGAGACTATGTCTGCCATGTCTTCTAAGTGTGTTTTTTTCGTTGAGAGTTAATTTTATTTGAATTTAAACGAACGAGTATCTTAAAAAGTTTTCTGAAAGAAACACTGAAAGAAATCACTCTCACAAAACAACAATACCCGTTTGAATTACAAGGCAAAACCTGCACGTGAGTATAATGAGTATAATACACGCAGGACCCTGTATAAAAGATTCCTGGTATTGTAGGGGTACTTAACAGAATACAAGGTTTCTCTACGCTTGGGATCACCTAGTACAGTACTAATATTTTACAAATAACATTAAATAGCTGTTTTGATAATTCTATTCTAAGTAAATATGAAATAAAACAAACTTCAACATAGTAAACAAATACAACATTCTAAAATAGTATTGAAAAACAATGCCAAAACAAAAATATGTGTAAGTAAAAAGATTATATTTTGTGCTAATAAATATTTTTTTCATTGCAGTATCGATAGATTTGAGAATGAACTGGACAATCTTCAAAAACTCGCTGATGCCGCCATAGTGAACATGCCCCCCTCCATTCAAGACTCTCCCGACACTCCCCAGCCGGAGGCCTACGGCCTGAAACCGGGTTGGATGACCGGAATCTTCGGCTGTTTACGGCCTGTGCTCAACATCATAGGCAAAGGGGTAGCTGAGAACAAAAATGGCCAAGGTAGTTATAATATAAACACTTATAATAAAAAAAACGCTGTCGGAGTTAGCTTGGAACGTCGTTTCCGAGCTTACACGACACCGGTTTTTTTCGATCATACGGTATAATTTATTTTTTTTTGCAGACGACTGGGAGATACCTTTCGAAAAAATCACAAATCTCCACTTCATCAGTGCGGGCGGTCAGGGTGCCGTGTTTTCCGGTTGCATAAACAACACTCCGGTTGCGGTGAAAAAAGTGGGGGAACTCAAGGACTTGGATATAATCAACCTGCGCAAATTGAACCACCCCAACATAGTGAAGTTTAAGGGGGTTTGTACGCAGGAACCCTGTATTTGTATTGTGATGGAGTTTTGCCCGTACGGATCTCTGTTCAATTTGCTCAAGAATCAGAAGGAGGACATCACTATAAATAGGGTGGCGGCTTGGTCCAAGCAGATAGCTAGTGGGATGCATTATTTGCACATGCACAAGATTATTCATAGGGATTTGAAGAGTCCCAAGTAAGTAACAGATTTTTTTTAATGGTCGTCCGAACTGTATACCGGAAACTTCGGCAGTATATTCTGCAGATAAAAATAAGTAAAAAAGTTCGTATAAATGTATGTCCGAAAATGCTTAGTTTCGGAGATACAGGGTGTAGAAGTTTCATTTTTATTTCGATTTTTTCCAAATTATTTCCGAATAAGTAACGTCAATATTTGGATGAAAATTGGTGTATGGGAGTTTTTTTGCATTGAGGAATTTGATTTTGATGTCAATGTTACGGTAAGTGTCCAAAATGCGGTAAAACCTAGGATTTACCAAAAGCAAGTGGTAGTAAAAACCAAACAACCCCACCAAATAACCACCTAACCAATGCATCAACACCCCCCAAATAACCACGCTAACCAATGCATTAACACCCTCCAAATAACCAGGCTAACCAATGCATTAACACCCTCTAAATAACCAGGCTGACCTAGTTAGTTAATGTTTTTCGTAAATCCTAGGTTTAGCGCACTTAATGACCCAAAAGATTGGCGCTTCTCAATAGGGCCAAGAACGACGTTTCTTTGCCCAAAGCATTAACTCTCTTTTCTTAAGCTTTAAAAAATTACTTTAGAGAATAGAAGAATCTATCTGTCCAAATATTTCTCTCTTGACCCAAAATTAATATGCAAAGAAGTTCTTGCTACAAGAACAATAGTCTCTTTGATTCATGCAAAAATTCTTGATTGAAAAGGGACATTTCTTGATTAAAGAGACACTTTTCTTAAACCAGTAGCGAATACCATTGACTCAACTAAAATTTATTTTGATCTAAGAGAAGTCTCTACATCATACACAGGCATACATGCATATTACGAGGTATATAATTTTCTAATAAATTTAGGTTTTGCTAGTCTGTAGTAAGTAGTAGGTGATATTATTTTCCTCGATAGTAGGTAGTTATTTCTGCTTCTTCACTCCTTGGTATTTTTTGGGGTGGTTCTCACTCTACAAATTACAAAAAAATGTCACATCACGATTAATCAAAGTAAAGCAAACAAATTATTAAAATTATAAGCTTTGGTCACATTTTGAATTTTTTAATACGACGACTTGAAATTCTAAAATTTTTCTAATTATTTGCATAAAAAAATCGATACCTATATTCTTATTCTATCTATAGTCAGGCATGCATTATCTAAACAGGTGCATTAGGTAAATGTCTCTTACCTTCAAATAAAGCAATTAAATGCTCTAATTTCCAATTTTTTCAGAAACTCCTTTAAAGAATCCATACAGGGTCCAGCAATAGTGCGTCGGGCATCTGTAGCTCATAGAATAAAATATTTGAGAATTTTGTTTTAGTGCAAACCTAAAGTATGTACCAGGATGTATTTCAGGAAAATATTTTAACTTCTATAGGGTGGCTCAAAAAAGTGTGGGTGGACGTGGATGATTTTTTAAATTGGAACACCCTGTATATTATTGCATTTTTGGATTCCTTTCAGATCACTTTACATACACCTAAGATATAAATAAATATATTTCGATAGTTTCAGAGATATTAAAAAATAAATCAAAAATATATATTTTTCAGCCCTTTTTAAAAAAATTATTAAAAATACAAGAACTGTTCTGAAATCAAAACTATATTAGGTATTTACTTTAGATAGTCTGTACTTACTTTGCTATAAATATGAATATCGTAAATTATACAGGATGTTCAAAATTCTACGCCAAACTTTCTAAAATATAAAATAATTTTTCTTCCTTTTTTTAAATGGAACACCCTGTATATTATTTTTTTATTAGATGGAGAGTTTAAAAATGAACATTTTTTGTATTTAGAGTATTTCAAAATTCTTAACGGTTTCGCAGATACACGCAGTATTATTTCATATGGCGCTTTCAATGGTAAAATACGAGAGAAAAATCATTGGGTGGCTTTGATAAAAATTTACTGAGGAAAATGCCATAAGAAATATAAAACCGCAAATATCTGCGAAACCGTTAAAAATTTTGAAATACTGTAAATACAAAAAATGTTCATTTTTTAATTCTCCGTCTATTGAAAAAATAATATACAGGGTGTTCCATTTAAAAAAACGAAGAAAAATTATTTTATATTTTAGAAAGTTTGGCGTAGAATTTTGAAACTTCTGGGAACATATTTTCTTTTACGCTAAAATAAATTCTCTTGCCACTAATTTTTTTTTTCAAGAACGATGACGACTTTAGTTCAAGTCTATCTTTTTTATCAGCGCCATCTACATGTGTTTTAACTAATTTGATAAGTAATTACTTTTCGTCCGTACCTGTATAAAACTACTGAGTGGAAAAATATACATTTCCGTGATTTTCTACGTAAAAATGTCCCTTAAATTGTTCGTAAAAATAAACATGTTGAGTAGATAGTAGTTATTTGAATAAAATGATAAATTATTTGTGAATTTTTAATTTTTTTAAATTAATCATGAATTTTTCTTCAAAAAAATGATGGGAAAACTGTTGAACTTTTGGTACAGAAACATTTCAAATTTATGATTTCAGTATAATAACTATTTAGTAAACATGTTTAATTTATGGAAATAAAAAATTAGAAAAAATCGAAATAAAAATGAAACATCTACACCCTGTATCTCCGAAACTAAGCAACTTTTTTACTTATTTTTATCTGTAGTCCTCCAGTATAAGTGAAATAATAGATAAAAGAATATACACTTTTGTCAAAGTCTACTAAACAATTTATTTAAAATTATTAATTAGGCATTTTTGTCTTATTAGAAATTATATCTACAATTTAATAACTTTATGAAACAGGTTTCAATCAGTAACTTTTCAATTCAATTGGTTGTTAAAACTAGTTCGTGCGTCATTCATAATATGCCCGATAATTTTTAACTTTTCGATATAATATGAGAAACTATAACGTTAATTATATCACGTTGTAAAATATCGTTTATTTTAGCAACAATTAAGGTGAACGTAACAGAATAGAGAATGTTAAAATTCAAAACACTACAGATATATCAAATTTATTAAATTTAATAATATTTTAATATGAGATTTTATTTTTGTTGAAATAATTTTTGAGAAAGAAAATTGCAAAAAATTCGTAATAGAATAAAGTATACACAGGGTGGTCCGAACTGTATTCCGAAAACTTCGGCTGCATATTCTGCAGATAAAAATAAGTAAAAAAGTTCGTTTAAATGTATGTCCTAAAATGCTTAGTTTCGGAGATACAGGGTGTAGAAGTTTCATTTTTATTTCGACCTTTTCCAAATAATTTCTAAAGTTAATGTTTGGATGAAAATTGGTGTCTGGAAGTTTATCGACATGAGAAATTTGATTTTGATGGCAAATTCAAATTTCTCATGTTAAAAACTCCCAGATACTAATAATTTTCATCAAAATATTGACGTTAATTCAGGAATTATTTTGAAAAAATCGAAATAAAAATGAAACTTCTACACCCTGTATCTCCGAAACTAGGCATTTGAGGACATACATTTATACGAACTTTTTTACTTATTTTTATCTGAATACTCTGTATATCCGTTCAAATTCGTGATATATTATAATATAGTACCAAGATCCTGTAAATATTATTATTATCACATTATCGGTAACACTATAACATTTTTTTTACGTTATTATGGGAAATCCTGTGGGTACAATAAAAATATTGTACCAATTTAAACAGATTCGTATGGTTTTTTCACAATTCTGGTTGTGAAGCTTATCTAATCGAGGAATTTTATGTATATTTAGCTCGGTACGACCTTGTCTACGAGCGCAGGTAAATGGAGTTCATCAAAACAACAATGGTTTGATTATTTAAACCAAAAAATCAGTGTTGGCTTTTTATACCCAGACCTGTATGGGTATAAAGCAGGGAAAACTTGAAATATCTTTAAAATTGCTTAATAAAAAGGCTGTTGTTGGAAAAGGTTATAGATAAGGAATTTTTCATATATCAATATGGTTATTTAAAGTTATTTGTAATATAACTCTCATGCTATATTGCGTTATCCCGCATTCGATTGTTATAGATAAGACAATATTTGTTTATCCATAACTTGTAATAAGTGATAAAACATTTGATTTATTTTTTTTTTCAATCCAATCCATGGGCGCCGGACAGGGGGGGTAAGAGGGGGCATTTGCCCCCCCTGGATCACTGAAACAATAAAAATAAAAGCTATCTTCCATCATTACATCCATCTGTAAAAAAATAATTATTATTATGAAATTTTTAGGTGTTACCTGTAAAATAATAAAAAATGTGGTAATTATTGGGAAAACTGGAAATCGTCCGATTTTCACCAAAATTGGTATACACACTATTTTGAGGTCGTAGATTACGTATCTACTTTTTTCTTGGCGGTTTCTTACCGTTTTTCAGAAAAACGGAAAATTATTTCAACATTGAATTTTTCTTTATTTCGGCCCTATAAAGTAATAATTTCACTATGTTTTCATTATATTATCTAAAAGCCACACTTGATTGGGGATAGAAAAATGTCCAACGTTTTACTGAAAAACACTTTTCTTAACAAAATAGCACAGATACTACAAAATAGCAAAGAAAATTGAGACCAGATGGAAGTTTGACATTTGATATATCCTTCTTTCTCTATCCTATGTAATAAGAGAGACAAATATATTCTAGACCTAATCTAGAAATTTTAAAATTTACAACGTTGCCATATCTTCTATTTTTCGGGTGATTAGGGATTTTAAATAAATTACCTATTATGAGATCGACAATAATTAAATATACACCTATATCCAAAAATTACGCGGAAGAGTTTTGATTGCATTGGTTTTAACTTCTTTGCGGAGGGGGTTAATCTTTTTTTGATATAATATAACAACAAAAGATTAACACCCTCTGCATGGAAGTTGTAACCAATGCAATCAAAACTCTTTTGTGCAACTTCGTGGGTATAAATAGTCAGATCTCGTTGGTAAAATATCAGTTATGGGAAGGAGCCGTTCTTCTGGCGACCGCCTTTCGTAATTCGAGAATGAGCGAAAAAAACACGCTAAATTTAGGTTTAGCATTGGCAGCGTTGCTTTAAATGCCAGAAACATGTAAGCTTACTTCGGGTTTCTCTTATTACCGATTCTGAACCGTCCTAGAACTGTGATGCGTATGCGCAGAAGAAAATATGAAGACATTATTTCATTTGCGCATGCGCTGCAGAGTTCTTGGACGGTTCAGAATCGGTAATAACAACAACCCGAACAAAGCTATAACCTAACATTTTCAGATTGTTTACAAATTTATTTTAGCAAATTTTTCTCTATTATGCATAGAATTGGTTAAAAAAGTAACAGAAAATAGCAAAAACATTATTGATTATTGAATACCTAACAAAATATGTGCTAGAAAACCTTAAAAATATGAGAAATTAAGAAAAATTCGATATTGAAATTATTTTCCATTTTTCTGAAAAACGGTAAGAGACCGCCAAGAAAAAATTCAGTTCAGATTCGTAATCTACGACTTCAAAATAGGGTGTATACCAATTTTGGTGAACATCGGACGATTTCCAGTTTTCCCAATAATTACCAAAAATGTCAATTTTTTATTCATTTTTACCTTGCCCCCCCCCCCTAAATTTCATTCTTCCGGCGCCCATGATCCAATCCGAACAGTATTCCGGAAACTTCGGCAGCATATTCTGCAGATAAAAATAAGTAAAAAAGTTCCTATAAATGTATGTTCTAAAATGCTTAGTTTCGGAGATACAGGGTATAGGAGTTTCATTGTTATTTCGATTTTTTCCAAATAATTTTTGAGGTAACGTCAATATTTTGATGAAAATTTCTGTCTGGGAGTTTTTTGACATGAGAAATTTGATTTTGATATCAATATGACTCCTACTTGTAGAGGGCGCCACCTACATATTTGTTTACTGGTTTGAAGAGTAATAACTTTTCGTCCGTACGTGTATATAAAACTACTGAGTAAAAAAATATACATTTGCGACGCTTTTTACGTAAAAAAGGTCTCTTGGTAAAAATCGCTACGAGTTATGGTTCTCGAGATATTTGGAATCGAAATTATCAATACCTGTCATCATTGACGTAAATTAGACATGTTGACTAAATAGTTTTAGACTGAAACTTTGAATAAGAAGACTAAAGCTTGATTTTCATGCATCCGTTGTCCGACGATACGATGATACGATATTAATTTTATTGGTTGAATTTAAAGAGTTCGATTGGTTAGAAACGGTTAATCAATCGAAGACTTCAAATACAACCAATGAAATTAATATCGTATCAACGTATCGTCGGACAACGGATGCATGAAAATCAAGCTTAAGGAAGGAGCATAATGCTATCCATGTATTCATGCATGGTGGGCGGAAAAAGCACTCTAGGGTGGGGATCCTTGACAGTTCTGTTTGACGATTCATTTGACACATTTGAATTTGATTTGAAATTTTATGGATTTGTCATTCTTTCCGGAGCTTATTTTATGTTATTTATTATTTATTCTACTACTGATAGTTGCATAAAAGTAGTAAATCTAGATGGAAATTGTGGTAGAACTTAAATTAATAGTGACACTATCGCGATTTATCGAAAAAGACTCTAAAATAGTTGGTTGTGTAGCGTGCGGTAGATCCCGGCAAAAATCGAGTGAAATAATGGAACAACTTTTCGTTAGTAAGTGACTACATAATATACATACGTGTAGTAAACCGATCATTTATGAAATTCACTTAAATTAACTAATTATATATTTTTTCTTGCGTTTTTGCTTTTATTTACTACTTGTCAAAGATTAGATGTCAAAGAATTTAGATACGTCAATTTGATTTACCAGATTTACCTGCTTCAGTAGCGTATCGGATGTTTGTGTTAATAAATAATTATTATAACTTATCTATTTTTATTAGAATTATATATTTTTGTAACAATTTTAATAACTACCAACATTTATTCACAACGTCAAATAAAACAACATATTATTGAGTCTACCCCACGTCTACCCTACATCATAGTTTTACATTTTTTAAATAAAATTAGAACTGCACTGATAAACCGGAATTTAAGTCGGCCATATTTGAGGCCCATCGCGGTGGACCTAAGATTTTTGATATGCTCCTTCCTTAGTCTTCTTATTCAAAGGACTGAAATAATAAATTTGAAATGTTTTTGTGTCAAAAAAAATATGATTAATTTAAAAAAACAAAAAGTTCCCAAATATATCATTTCAGTCAAATAACTATCTACTCTCAACATGTTTATTTTTTGTCAACAATGACATGCATTGACTATTTCCATTCTAAATTTCTAAATATCTTGGAAACGGTTGCTCATAGAGATTTTTACCAAGAGACATTTTTTGCGTAGAAAATCACGACAATATATATTTTTTTACTAAATAGGTTTATACAGGTAGGGACGAAAAGTTATTACTGTTCAAAACAGTTAAAACACATGTAGGTGGTGCCCCCTACAAATAGGAGTCAAATTGATATCAAAATCAAATTTCTCATGTCAAAAAACTCCCAGACGCCAATTTTCATCCAAATATTGCCGTTACTTCAGAAATTATTCGGAGAAAATCAAAATAATATACCGGAATACAGTTTGGACCACCCTGTAGATGCATTATAATGGAAGGAAATGTATATTGATTTGGTTTTCCCAAGAATTACAGCTTATAGGTCATTTAATGTATTAACTCGATACACCTTTTTTCAATGTTTCTCAGCCTTGGTACTTTGCAAAGTATCATGATATTCATAGGCGCGGTTTTTTAAAATTTAAGAAGGGTTTAAAATAATCAAATATTACAATAATTATTTTCGAGGGTATACAAGACTAATTTAATTATATTTTCAGACACTTTTTAACAATAAATTCCACATTTTTGCAGCGTACTTATCGGCGAAGACGAAATAATCAAAATCAGCGACTTTGGTACTTCTCGAACCTGGAACGAGGTGAGCCAAAAGATGACATTTGCCGGTACTGTGGCTTGGATGGCGCCAGAAGCCATACAAGAACTAGCTTGCAGCGAAAAGGTCGATATCTGGTCCTTTGGGGTGGTTTTGTGGGAACTGCTCACTTGCGAAGTACCTTACGACGGAATGGAACAAGGTACGATAGTGTTTCTGTTAATATTCAGCTGGAGTTCATTCCGCTAGTCCAAAAAAGCAGCAAAATAAGCGTTCGGCATTTAATGTTTTATGTAAAACTGATGGTTAGGTATTTTTACACAAATGAAGAAGGAAATTAAAGATAAAGGATTATACTGTATCCGTATTGTAGCACATTTTTAGATAACTTCTTTATTTTTAAGATTTTGATGGTCAAACAATTATTCCTTATGTTTGGACTAAATTTTCTCGAAAATAAAGTCATAATTTAAAATTTCGTTACAATACGGAAATAGATTGAAGTTTTGTGATTACAGTGATATATAATTTATACGGTTTTGTAACAAATTGCTAGTGATAGTAATGATCCAGTGACTTAGTGATCCAGGCGGAGGCAAGAATGGGACTCTATCGACAACAAAGTGTCTTGTCTCTGGGAAATAGGACAGAAACAGGATACTCAAAGATGGGAGATTCTATTGGAGGACCTCTACTCCAAATGAGATCGGACCAAATGACTCTTTATCACTACCACAAACCATTCGAGGTGAACAAAATGGATCGAGGAATGTGGACAGATATAACATTCCTTCAGGATGGACTAACCTGGTATACAGACGGGTCAACGACCGCTGAAGGAACAGGAGCTGGAGTATTTGGGGAAAGACCAAGGGTAAGTTTATCCTTTTCCTTGGGTAAACACTCAACCGTATTCCAGACAGAAATCTTTGCGAGAGAAAACAATAGAAGGGTAAGCTCATCAATATATGCTCAGACAGTCAGGCGGCACTTGGGGCGCTTATGAACCCAAAGGTATCGTCGAGGCTCGTCTGGGAATGTCTAGGTGAACTGGGAGCTCGAAGGAACAGAATTAAATTATTCTGGGTGCCGGGCCACAGCGGCATCCAAGGCAACTAAAAAGCCGATGAGCTAGCTAGGCAAGGATCATCGGCATACTTTCTTGGTCCAGAGCCAGTACTGGGAATACCCAAATGTATGGCCTGTAGTGCAATAAAACTCTGGATCAGGGAAAAGCAGAATGTCCACTGGAGAAACAGACAGGGGCACAGACACAGCAAGGCTTTTATCCAAGGACCTAGCTCTAAAACCGCAAAAGAACTGCTAATGCTTTGCAGGAATAAAGTGCGGATTACAACAGGCCTCTTGACAGGATACATGGCTGTCAAGTGTTAGTCTTTGCTGCAGACTTTGCGATAAAAATCGACACTTTTTATTTGGGAAAGCTAGGCTAGAACCGGAGGAACTATACCCAAGTAGCATTTTCACGACTTGCGACCACATGTTTACTAAACACAACGTTGGATTAGGTACAAAAAATAGTTAGCTCCCTACCTTGGGTACTAAAATAAATTTAAACGTTTTTATAACGTTGTGCCGACGTTGGACTAGTACTACAGCAAAGTAGAAGCTTCTGCGACGTCGAATAAACGTTGTCTTGTAACCTTTTTTCCTTAAGCGATCTTTAGGTGATTCGGACAACGTAGTTACAACGTTGGACAATATAGAGTTTTCCGACGTCAGTTTCAGGACCTATTCCAATGTTATGCAAACGTCGTCTGTTTTACTAATTCCAACGTTGTTTAGATTTCCTTATTCTTACGTTGGTAGGACGTCGAGTCACTACCTTTTTGCAACTGTATTGAACCATAACCTTAAATCTTAAATTTTCACTTCATTGTTCTGTTCAGTCAGACCGTTCAGTGCTGTTTTTGCTTTTATAAAAAAAAACTTTATTAAAATGGAACATAAGAAAGGTACATATAAAACTAAATTTAAATATACATCGACCTATATTACCGATAGTTTATCCACTCCCTCGTTTATTTAGATTATAGAGGGCGGCACAAGCTAGACTCTAGGATGACTAAATTAGGCAATCTTGAGACTAGTATACTGTGCTAGTATACTACCTCTTAAGGCCGAACAGCGACTTTATTAGTCCAGTATGCGACTACTCGAACTACTCCATCTTAAGCCGGAGTCTCATGCATCCGAAATCCGATGACACGACGATCCGACGGTGCTCCTATTGGTCGAAATATTTTGACACCAATTTTTATCCGATATTTTTAACTAATCGTCCGACGTCGTATAAAGTTAAATTTTGTTTAACTTTTGTACGATATCGTGTGTTTTTTAACCTCACTTTTTTTGAAAACATTGTTTTTTAAAATCAAGTTTAGTGGGAAGTGGGCAATTTTCGGGATATTTGGCGAGGAAGTTATTTTTATAAGTGTTTCTCCAATAATTCATGGAATAATACATAATAATAATACATAGTAATTACAGGTCTAAATGTCAAAACTGTCAAATTTCGGAACGAACTTTCGGATGTATGTGACAGGCTTTTTTTATTTCACACGATAACTTCAAATTTCGGATGTCGTACCATCGGATTTCGGATGCATGAGACTCCGGCTTTAATCTCCAAAACAACAAAGTGAAAGCCGCCATGTTGTTAAATAAGAAAATGTTTGGTTCCTAAAATAGCAATTCCTGCTTTTTGAATACATTAACTTGAAATATTTGACCCCAAAAAAACACGCGAAAACAATTTTTTGCGACTGCAAATAAATTATTCTCATTTTACTAAAAAAAATTCAAGAAAATGTTTAAAACTTCTTTAATTTTAAGGCCCATTAGTATTTTTCAAAGTAGAAACAATACATTTATCAATAAAGTTGTTTGCGTTTAACTTTTTTGCCTTGGGTAACGAGTTACAGAATCGGTTAAAGTGTTTCAATAATTATGATCTTCAAACAGTGCCTTCTATTAAAAGATCAGCCTACGGGCGAGATTTATGACGTCACGCTAGTTAGATATAACGGATTAATAAATATATTGTAGAATACATGGAAAACATAATTATTCCTCAGATTTTTGGTTTGTATTTTAAAAATGATATAGTTTAAATGAAATATACATAATATACAGTTAATAACTACAACATATATACCTATTTATAGTAATAAATACTTTGGCAAATAAACTATGAACCATACAAATGCAGCAAATGTTTTACAATGTACAAATAATGTATAGGTACATAAGATAATGGGTAAAATGTAAATATATTTTAAATTTTGGGGTTTGAAAATCGATCTAATTTAACAAAAAACATTTAATATCTACTAATAGTGATGTATTATTATTTGCATTCACAAAATTTATATGTATATTTTGCAAGTATCAATGTTCGAAAAATTATATTTACAAATAATACAATATTATCTAAAAAAAAGGCGTCAGCGATGGCTATGAAATGAAGATCGCTGGCATTTTATATGTTAAATTATTCTAAAATTTTGATTTTCTTGGGATTTTTAGGTTCGGGAAAAACGCTGATTAAGTTTTCATTTGGGTTTTCATTATTTTTATTTGGTTTAAAAAAACGTTTCGGCTAACTTATAGCCTTCACAGTGTTGTGTCATATGAGAAAAATGGTGTCGAATATAATCCAAAAAATTACATATACAATATAATTCACACCTCATAATGTTTACTGCAATTAATAAACTAATATAAACTTATCAAAAGATGACCACATATTTTTTAAAATTATTATTCTTAACACTAAAATTATCTACATTGACTATGGAGTACGCAGTAAACATTATGTGCGTGGTGTGAATATTTTATATGCAATTTTTTGGATTATATTCGACACTATTTTTTTTCATATGACACAACACTGATGGAGGCTATAATGTTAGCCGAACCGTTTTTTTTAAACCAAATAAAAATAATGAAAAACCAAATGAAAAATCAATCAGCGTTTTCCCGAACCAAAAAAATCAAAAATTTAGAATATTTAGAATCAGGTTCAAGAATATCAAATTTTCCAAGATTGTAAAATTCTAGTTAATTATTTTATGTGTACAGTTATTTAGGGAATGTCATCGATGTTCATTTCCAAGCCAACTAGACGCCGATTTTTTTCGATGATACGGTATAATTCTTACGTAAAATGTAAATAACATTAGACCAATTAAAACAAAGAAATATGAATTTCTTAGTATTTTTAGAACACCTTTATTCTTAAAACTTAATTTTGTATTATGCAAATATACCAATTTTATTGTTATTTTATTCATATTGTATTCAGCCATCACTTAAATATTTGATATTAATTTGGTATTATAAATAATCAATACTATTCATTAAAAATTACTGAACAAATATATGTTATGCTTAACATACATTATATATTATCAAACAAAAACACATTCTTCTTTTTAAACTGTATCAGTCTTGTCTTTACAAAAATCTTTTTTAAAATTTGAACTCAAAATAATAATCTTTTTCATGATCTCTAATACACATATTCTTTATTTTCCCTAGATCATAATACCTACTTACGTGTTTGAATCTATCGAAGCTGAACCAGCAACACTTGGAGTGGAGATTCCACAATATGAATAAAATAAACATAATTGTCCAGTTTTCATTAATACCATCATGGGAGAATATTATTTTTAAATTTATTAAAGATATTTTCAATAAAATTCTCTTGATTTATAACTCGTACCCACTTTTCTTGCTCTTCCGGACACTTTAGGCTGCCTAGTATAATAACTATCCTTAGTAACTATCCTTTCCACCAGGAACACAACAAAGATGAGGCATAGCACCAATAACACACTCCACTTAAGCTTTATTGATGAATTGTTAGAGTCTTAAAAAACACACACAAAAATCACGATAAGTAAAAAATGTATGGGCACTTTTAGGTTAAATCACTTGCACAACGTGTAATTTTTAAAATTTCTATTTTTTTATGCGAAACCGAGAGTGACCATATATCTGGTAGTAGTTTATGTCACTTCAACACCAAAATAATTAGTTTTTTGCACTACAATAATAAATAATACCAAAAATCAAAGAGTTAAAACCAAAAATCAACCGACAAAATATGAAACGGAATCTAACCCAATATCTAAGTATGTACAGCTGATGAAGAAAACAAAAGTCCGCCCGCGGGCTGATCTTTTAATAGAAGGCACTGCTTCAAACATCCTCCACACTTAAATACTTTTGTTTTGTTTTCCTTCACTGCCATCTGACATATGTCTCTAACTAAATCATAAAAATAATATTTTTACTATAATTATCCCAATTTAGGATAAAACGCGACTTAGACGCCATATTAGTTTTGTATTTCTATGAATTAGGATTTTAAACAACGTTGCAGTTTGTACTAATTAAAAAAAAAAGTTTGTTTTATTTGTTTAGGTGCCATCATGTATTCTGTGGGTTCCGGCAAACTCACACCGCCCATTCCGTCCACGTGCCCCGACGGTTTCAAGCTCATCATGCAAATGTGCTGGAAGCACAACCCCAAAGAGCGACCTCCCTTCAAACTAATCTGCAGCCATCTAGAAATCGCGGCTGCGCAGATGCTGGCCGCGCTCAAGGACGCCGAGTTCCACAAGACGCAGCAGTCCTGGAAGGAGGAGATCCAGATCCAGATCACGCAGTTCGCGGAAAAGTTCCAGAAAAGTCGACTGGAGTACCACCTCAAGGACGAGCAGCTTATCCAGAAGAGGGAGATGGCAATCAAGCACGTTTTGGATATTAAGGAGTTGTATGATAGGAAACTGGAACAGGTATGATTTTTTTCCTTCTTTGAACAAATTTGTAGCTTAGAGTAAACTGTTTTTTTTTGTAATTTTAGGTCCATCAACTTTGTGCTGAATTGACAGTTGTGATGCAGAGAGAACGTGCCAAGAGCTCCGGAGTCTTGCAACAAGAAAGAAAAGGAGAAAGAAGACGCCGATTCCTGAATTGGAAAAAGACAGCTGATAGAAGAAACAGGAGTAATAACCAGAGTTCTACCCCCACGAGTCCAGAGTGCAGTCTCACGAGTCCTGACAGCCCCCAAAAGGTACGAAATCATTTTATCATTACTTCAATCACAGCCCGACTCTACTTAACAAGCCGTGAACAAGGAAATCTGGCAACCCTGGTTTCAGATCGATCGATACACGTTTAGCCATATGATTTACGTTCATTGTCCTGTTGCTCTGTTATGTTTTTGAATATAACGGGCCCTGAATCTCTTGTCGGTTGCGGCATTGCCAAATGGTTATTCACGGCTTGTTAGATAGAGTCGGGCTGTGCTTCAATCACATTTTTCAGTAGTTTTCTTATTTATTTTTTGTATTTTTAGAACCCAGTTAAGGCACCACTCTACACCACGTTGAACCTAGCTACCGAATCCGTAACTACTCAAACTTCAACGGGTTCGTACAGGAAAAGGCATCACAGAACCAATTCCAGCAGTCCTAGAAGCTCTGGGTTCGGGTCCAGAGCCTCTAGTTTTCGGGCATCGACTTGTGTGGATGCGGAAACTCAAACTGGTAATTTTTTCCAGAAATTTGAAGTGGTTTTTTGTATTAATTATGTTTTTTTTTGCTTCTAGATTGTATGGATATTAGTGAAAATGATCTGAGTAGTCCTGGTGCGAGCTGTCAAAACACTATTCTGCCTTTCAGAACTGGACTGCCCACTGTGTACCCACAGAGAGTGATTTTGGAGCAGATGAGGAAAGATCACAGTGATGAGGAGGGTATCAATGGGAATAGTGTTCAGTTGCATTACATGGTTCAACACAAACGCAAAAGTAAATAATATAATAAAAAAATTAAAAGATAAAAAAATTAAAAAATAACAATAAAAAAAATAAAAAAGTTAAAATAAAAAGTAAAAATGTATTTTTAAGGTTTGTCATTGTTCGCCAAGGTGGATTCGCGTAGTACCAGCCCCATAATCTTCGACAGGGTGGAGGATTCGGTGAATAGGAACACTATAAACACTCCGGAAGTGTCCGGTGAGGAAAATTTGGAGGAAATTAGCAGGAAAGTGTCTGCCATGACGATTTACAGTCCGGAAAATGGAAACATTGCGGAAAATTTGAACGATATTATGAGGCACAGAACGAGGTCTGGAACAAGAGATGATCTGGATAGTACCGAGGATATGGCTAACGAAGATAGTTTTACCGATGAAGAAGGAGAGATTTACAATCATTCATTGAGGAGACGAAGGTAAATATTTTAATGTTGTGATGTTATTACATTTTTTTATTATTAATACTATTTTTTTTTCTATTCAACATTTTTTTTATTGAGCTTTAAAAATATATCTGTACAGGGTGGGTCAAATTCGACGCTTTTAAATGAAAACACCCTTTTCTGTAGGAGATAGACAAAAACTAATATCGGTGTCTGGAGCTCAATTTTTGTCAAAAACAAGATGGTGAAAACCGCATATCGATATCTGTTACCGTTTCGGAGTTACGGGGGGTTTTGCAAAAATATGCATTTTTAACAAATCGCTGTAACTTTTTTGCTATGGAAAATTTTGTATTTTTATGAAAACATTTCCAAAGCAACTTTTTACGTAGAATTTAATGGTTTAAGTATATTTTTTTTTAATTAATAATCTAAGAATTATTAACAAAAAATTTGATTTTTTATATGGGACACCCTGTATATTTTCACTTTATTGAAAATAATTTAAAATTACCTTTCCGAAAATATAACACACTTGATATTTTGCTCGATTCCTCTTCGAGATATAGAGTATCTAAAAATTCGCCCGCTTTAAATAAGTAGGCTTTGAACGGCACCGGCTGTAATGCGAAAAAATTCTAGCTGTGAGCATCAATTAATACGAAAATAATATTTGCTATGAGAGATGCAGAATTTTATGACAATTTAAAATATATTTAACCAACATCAACGCATTTAAACTATATCTAATAACAATAAAAATAGGTAGTAAACCAAGACATGAGATTTTGCTACAGGTGTTCGACATATCGACCGTGTTCTGTTATGGACAGACGGGGCAGTTATTGAACATTTCTCGCGGTATTCATTAACTCAGTGGAGGTGTAAGATACTCTCTCATAACTGCTAAGTATTTTTAATTCTTGTCTAGATTATACGGAAGAATAAGGAAACTTTATTCTTCCGCAGATATATCCATAGGATTAGATCCATGGGTACTAAGTCAGGCAGCCTCGACGGCCAACGGCTGAGATCTTGGTTAGCTATCCAATTATTCTTGAAATTGGCTGCAAAAATTTGCTGATAACTTCAGCGTTCAGAGGCGGTGCGTCGTTTTGCTGGAAAAATATGTTTTCGAGTTCCATTAAAGGCATATCATCAATAAGGGGTCCAAAGCCTACTAGTTAAAAGTGGCGAGCTTTTAAAAATTCTGTATTTCGAAGGGGATTATAACAAAATATCAAGTGTGCTATATTTTTGGAAAGGTAATTTTAAATTCTTTTCAGTTAATTAAAAATATATAGAGTGTCCCAAATAAAAAATCAATTTTTCTGTTGATAACACTTAAATTATTAATTTTAAAAAAATTATACTTAAACCATTAAATTCTACGTAAAAAGTGCTTTGGGAATGTCTTCAAATACAAAATTTTCCATAGCAAAAAAGTTACAGCGATTTGTTAAAAATGCACAATTGATGTGCGGTTTTCACCATCATGTTTTTGATGAAAATTGAGCTCCAGACACCGATATTAATTTTTGGTCTATCTCCTATAGAAAAGGGTGTTTCCATTTAATAGCGTCGAATTTGACCCACCCTGTACAGGGTGGTCCGAACTGTATTGTTATTGAAACTTTGGCAACATATTCTGCAGATAAAAATAAGTAAAAAAATTCGTATAAATATATGTCCTAAAATGCTTAGTTTCGGCGATACAGGGTGTAGAAGTTTCATTTTTATTTCGATTTTTTAGGACGAACATTTATACGAACTTTTTTTACTTATTTTTATCTGCAGAATATGTTTCCGGAATACAGTTCGAACCACCCTGTATATTTCTGATTTAAGTTTAATTACTAAACCTTTGAAAACTACCAAAAAATATTTATACATTTTTGTTTACATAGCAAACAGGGAAAAGAAACTTCAAAACCAAGGTACTTAAAACCCTTCAAAATCACGAACTACCATTAAAATTACTTAATTTAACTCACCATGTCTCTCTTAATTTTTTTACAGTCTGGCTAGACGTCCTATCTACCCGGGCAGACGATCCAAACGGTACTCGGCAATGTTCCGGTACGACCAGCGCGGCGAGAACGCCTCAGACGAAGGAAACACTTCGGAGTACTCGGTATCGGCCTCCTCAAAATCGTCCACGTTGGAATCGAACCCCGGAGAACGTACCCGAAGTTCTCCGATGGTACCGCGCAATCATGGTGGTACCAAAAGTGTCAAAAGACCCAACCAGTACGATGAAGAGAATCGGGTTTTCTCCGACACGTCAGATAGCGAGTCTGAAGAGAATACCATGGCAACGGTCATCACAGAACTGAGTTACCCAGTCAATGTCGGCTGAGGGTATGGTTGTGTGTTTTTTAAACTGTAGCTGATGGATTTTCAAGTCAATTTTGTTTGGTTGTCCGGAATTTTGGAACTGTTAAGCAATATATAGTACAGGAAGAACGTGCTCAGAAGTCTTAAACGGTACTGGAATGAATTCTGGAAAGCCTAATATAGTATCTTCTGTTTTTCGATTGTCCTTGAACAATTTTAATGTTAAATTTGAGGTGAAAATAGTTGAAAAACATAGTTGTCAGATGTATTTCAAGATACAGGTAGTAAAAAAACGGCATAGGGTCTGTCCAACAAGTCAGGGAAGATTTCGACAGAAGACGTTCTAAAAATGACAAAAAACACCAGTAGCCTATGAATTAAAAAATGACAGATAGAACTGTCACTGTCAGAGATCCTCTCTCACTGGATAGACTATACCCTACATCACCGAGGATACGTATTAATAAGGATTTTTCGATAGATTTCAGTACACTTTCAAGATTACAAATTTTTCCCTAAATTTACTGAGATATTTTCTAAATGACAACGTCGTGAAGTTCTAATCGAAGTAGACACTGAAGATTTGAGACAGTCAAATGGTTTCCTTTATCATTATCAGTGTATGATATTTTTCCCTAAATTTAAGTAAAATCGCTAATTTTTTCCTAAATTTGCTGACAAATTTTCTAAACGACAACGTTGTGAATTTCTAACTGAAGCAGACAAACAAGATTTAAGACAATCAATCATTCTTTTTAATATACACTTCCCCAATAAATTAACGCACCACAAAAAAATAACCAAAAGTTTAAGTTAAGTTTTTGTCAAAACCACTTATCCGATTTGGACGATTTTTTTTTTGAATGATAGGTTATTCTTTCCACAATGTTGCTATACTAACTGTATTTTGATAGGAACCCTTAGTTTTTTTAATAAAATTTGTGACACCCTGTAGAGTTGATCAGTTACAGTATCAAGTTAAAATTGAAATCACATTTTAGCCTTATCTTTTTTTTACATTTTGTTTTTTTATTTACTCCATTATCTTCCTTATTACACGAAAAACAATATTTTATAGGATGACATGATTTAATATTGGTTTTAATTAACATCTTTCCATTTTACTCACTAAAGTAAGTAGCAGGCTATGGAAAAACACGGATTACCAGTAAATGTCAAATAGAGATGCTTGTTGTCAGTGTCAGTCGTTTTCGTCCTTTTATTATATCAAAAATATGCAACGTGCACGGGAAACAAGAAATCTTACTGGCGCATATTCTTGCTCAAGCATTAATATTGTCTGGGGACATTTGGAGCTACCGAAGAATTGGTGAACGATTTAAATTAACTCACTCAACCATTTCACGAGTTATACAACGGTATAGAGATACTGGGAGTAATTGTCGCAGGCCGGGACAAGGCAGGAATCGAAGAACCAGTCCGATTCAGGAACGTTTTTTAAAACTCTCAACATTAAGACAACGTTTCGTACTAGCTCGGGTCCTTCAAACTCAGCTCAGAGATACTAATGGTCTACAAGTTTGCACATAAACTAGCATATCTATTTGACATTTACTGGTAATCCGTGTTTTTCCATAGCCTGCTACTTATTTTAGTGGGTAAAACGGGAAAATATGTTAATTAAAACCAATATTAAATCATGTCATCCTATAAAATGTTGTTTCTCGTGTAATAAGGAAGATAATGGAGTAAATAAAAAAACAAAATGTAAAAAAAAGATAAGGCTAAAATGTGATTTCAATTTTAACTTGATACTGTAACTGATCAACTCTACAGGGTGTCACAAATTTTATTAAAAAAACTAAGGGTTCCTATCAAAATACAGTTAGTATAGCAACATTGTGGAAAGAATAACCTATCATTCAAAAAAAAATCGTCCAAATCGGATAAGTGGTTTTGACAAAAACTTAACTTAAACTTTTGGTTATTTTTTTGTGGTGCGTTAATTTATTGGGGAAGTGTATTATTTTCAGTGTTTGAAATGTTTTCCTAAATTTAGGGAAATTCTTCGCAAAGTGACAACGTTATAGAGGTCACGAACTGACGTAAAAATGACATAATTCCGACTATTGAAAAATCCGGTAATATGTACAGATTTCTTGAGACATCACTTTGAATGTTTGAGATTATTTTGTAAGAAGCATGAATGTGATTATTTTTTTTTGTCTTTTAGTGAAGTCGTAGGACTTTTTTGTAATATAGTGTTTAGAAAAAGCTGCCATTTGTTCTTGATATTTCTTTGATTTTACGTGTTTTTTTGTGCAATTTTCGCAATATAACCTAGGACTATGATTGCCGTTGATCAACTCCCTTTGTATTTAGAGTTGAAGTTTCTAGAGTAAAAAAAAATGTTGTTAATAGTTTTTGATGAAATTTTTGAGAAATTGTTGCCTATACAGGTTTTTTTTTGGTATATAGAGTTCTTTTCTAGCTGAATCTCTTTTAAAAGATCAATATAATAGAAAAATTTGCCGTATTTTTGTACAATCTATTTTTGCAGCTAATTCATAGTGATTTTTATATAAATATAAGTAGATAATGTACATATAAAGCCTTAATAATTTATATTTGTTTTTAAAATTTGTCAAAAAGAGGGCTTTTTAAAGAGAACAACTTAAAACATTCCAAAACGTTTTTGTATTTATTCTAACATAATTAATATAGAAAAAATACACTTTTGAACCTCATTTGTATATAAAGCATTTTTAATTATTTTTTTTAATACGCCTTGTGTAATTTTAAGTGATCAAAATATTATTTTAAATGTGATTTTAACGAAATACAAACCAACAAACATTCCGTCGTATGTGAAACGCTTTAAAATATTTAGACTTTTAATTTATTTTTTGTATTTTTCCTACAAAAAATATACATATTTTTTTATTTTTACAATGTACAAAATAAGAGGACTTGATGATTTCGTGTCTTTCGTTTAGATTTTTAAGTTTGTTTGAGAGGACTGGTATACTTTCTAATTGTACCTCGTATAAACGTTTTGAACATTCCATATTATTGTTTCATTCTTATTAATGGTTAATGTGCAACCTGATATTGTTTTTAATCTGAGAGTTGTGTCAAATATACTCAAAAAGTTACGAATTACGTACTGTGTTTCATTTTATCCCAATTTATTTTTCTCTTGTAAAAAAAAAGACTTCCCAATAATTTATGATGGTTATTGTTGAACTGTCGCTAACAGAAACCGACATTTAATACCTAAGCCTACCCTGACGTTTTTTTTTATTCGAGTGTATCAATAATATCAAAGCTAAGACGTTGAAAAAGATTTTTAAAAAATTATCATTTATTAATTTACCTACGTTTTCTATCTAACCTGGCGCATTCGCCATTTTTCAGAATATGTTAAAAATGTAATAATAAAAATAAAAATTTATATTAAAACATCAATAAGGTATAAATTCCTATTATTATTGCTTTATTATATTTAATTACACAATTCAGAGTTCGAGTTTTCATAATACCATGAAACGTCTTAAAGTAAGTTTAATTATGCTGTTCAATCACCAGTAAAAAGACTCATTCCAAAAATTGACTATAGAATGTACAAAACCTTTTTTAGGTTCTTGTTCATTAGGAATTGAAGTTATTGCTCCAGATTTTTGCAGAAAATCCTCTTGAGGATACTCCAAGTAACTTCTGTCGTCCATTGTTTGAGTCAGTAAGTTATAGAATGTCTAAAAAATTCACATTTTTAATATAGTGTTTAAATTTTATCACAGTTAAGAAATATGAATTTGTATATTTTTTGTACAATAATTGTATACATTGATATCAAAGTAAAATAAATAAGAAAATTTCAATCATTACTTCATATAACTAAATGAAAAAAAACATTTAAAATAAAATAATTTTAACATATTAAGTTTATTACACAAATTTAATAAAAAAACCTTCACCATTTTGTGAAGAAAACTTTACCTCATTTTCTTGATTTTTATTCTTTTTCACGACTAAACACTTAAAACCAGACTTTCTGTATACTTTCTCTATTACTTCTTTAATCCACGTATTAGAGCACAGCCTTAGAGTACATCTTTTCGTTTCCAGATCTGTTAAAAATGAAATAACACCCTTCGTTTTGAGGAGAGTATTCTCAAAAGTTCTTTGGCTATCCTAAAAATGTATTTAAAATCAATGTCATTGTTTAAAATATATTTTTTTAAATAAAAAAATGATACTTTATCTAAATCTGGAACATATAAAAGATAAACTGTTTGTTTTTTGTTAGAGTTCTTTGCTCTATTCTTGCTACGAGTGTTCAGAGCTGGAGGAGTGGCACTTCTTAGAATTTCAGTAATTTTTGAGGCTCTATGGTAAATATTTTTGTCAAAATTTCTCATTCTGTAATATAAGAGTGTTATTTCTTGTTATTTTTGTATAAATTATTACAACCTAATACAAAGAGACTGTAACGATTCATAAATTCCAAAAATCGAAATCAAATAATTATGAGTTTCAGTATTTTCAACGAGTTTTTCAAAAATATCCAGACATAATTTCAGAACATTGAGATTTTCACTGTCTAAATTTGTGGCAGCGTATAAAGCAATTTTCTTGTCCTAGAATCCATAATTTCGATCAAAAAAAAATTGAAAAAAATTGAATATGACTCGCCTTCATCAATAGTTTGTGATTTTTTTCATCTACTACCAGTTTCAAGAACTTTTTTAAGGTTTCTATCTCAACTGAGTAGCTTCTTATTACCATTTTTTCTTATTACTTAATGATAATGATTTGACAACACTCACTGTCAAGAAAAAAACATTTTAAAGTACACCTGAATTAGTTTTTTTATTAAAAAATACAGAGAAGATAAAGAGTTTTGAATTTGTAATTATACAGGGTGTTTCTAAATAACGCGATAATATTTAGAGGGGTGATTCTTGGATCTATTCTATGAAAAAAAAAACTTTATAAGAATGTATGTCTAAACATCTTAACTTTTGAGATACAGATACTGTTTAATATAGAGTTCAAATTTTATCACAGTTAAAAAATAAGAATTTGTATACTTTTTGCGTACAATTGTAGAAATTGATATCAAAGTAAAATTAATAATAAGTTTTCAATTATTACTTCATATAAATAAAAGAAAAAAAAAATTAAAATAAAATAGTTTTGACATTTTTATTCAGTTCACTACACAAATTTAATAAAAAACCTTCACCATTTTGTCAAGAAATTTTTATCTCAATTTCTTGATTTCTATTTTTTTCCACCACCAAACACTTAAAACCAGACTTTCTGTAAATTTACTTTATTACTTCTTTAATCACAGCCTTAAAGTACATATTTTCGTTTCTAAACCTGTTAAAATCAATGTGATTGCTTAAAATATATTTTTTTAATAAAAAAAATGATACTCTATCTAAATCTGGAACAAATAAAAGGTAAACTGTTTATTTTTTGTTAGAGTTCTTTGCTCTATTCTTGCTACTAGTGTTCAGAGCTGGAGGAGTGGCACTTCTTAGAATTTCAGTAATTTTTGGGGCTCTATGTTAAATATTTATGTCAAAATTTCTCATTCTGTAATATAAGAGTGTTATTTCTCGATATTTTTGTATTTTTAATATGGTGTTTAAATTTTAATACAGTTAAAAAATAAGAATTTGTACATTTTTTGTACAATTATTACTGTATACATTGATATCAAAGTAAAATAAATAAGAGAGGTCCAATCATTACTTCATATAACTAAAAAAGAAAAAAAAACATTTAAAATAAAATAATTTTAATATTTATTCAGTTTAATACAGAAATTTAATAAAATACCTTCACCATTTTGTCAAGAAATTTTTATCTCATTTTCTTGATTTCTATTTTTCTCCACTAACAAACACTTAAAACCAGATTTTCTGTAAATTTTCTCTGTTACTTCTTTAATCACAGCCTTAAAGTATATCTTCTCGTTTCAAAAAACTGTTAAAAATGAAATAACACCCTTGGTTTTGAGGAAAGTATTCTCAAAAGTTCTTTAGCTATTTTAAAAACGTATTTAAAATCAATGTAATTGCTTAAAATATATCTTTTTTAATAAAAAAAAATGATACTTTATTTAAATCTGGAACAAATAAAAGATAAACTGTTTGTTTTTTGTTAGAGTTCTTTGCTCTATTCTTGCTACGAGTGTTCAGAGCTGGAGAAGTGGCACCTTAGAATTTCAGTAATTTTTGAGGCTCTATGTTAAATATTTATGTCAAAATTTCTCATTCTGTAATATAAGAGTGTTATTTCTCGATATTTTTGTATTTTTGATATGGTGTTTAAATTTTAATACAGTTAAAAAATAAGAATTTGTACATTTTTTGTACAATTATTATTGTATACATTGATATTAAAGTAAAATAAATAAGAGAGGTCCAATCATCACTTCATATAACTAAAAAAAAAAGAAAATAAACATTTAAAATAAAATAGTTTTAACATTTATTCAGTTTAATCTTAATACAGAAATTTAATAAAATACCTTCACCATTTTGTCAAGAAATTTTTATCTCATTTTCTTGATTTCTATTTTTCTCCACTAACAAACACTTAAAACCAGATTTTCTGTAAATTTTCTCTGTTACTTCTTTAACCACAGCCTTAAAGTATATTCAAAAGTTCTTTAGCTATTTTAAAAACGTATTTAAAATCAATATAATTGCTTAAAATATATTTTTTTTAATAAAAAAAAATGATACTTTATCTAAATCTGGAACAAATAAAAGATAAACTGTTTGTTTTTTGTTAGAGTTCTTTGCTCTATTCTTGCTACGAGTGTTCAGAGCTGGAGATGTGGCACCTTAGAATTTCAGTTATTTTTGAGGCTCTATGTTAAATATTTATGTCAAAATTTCATATTCTGTAATAAGGGTGTTATTTCTCGATATTTTCGCATTTTTAATATAGTGTTTAAATTTTATCACAGTTAAAAAATAAGAATTTGTACATTTTTTGTACAATTGTATACACTGATACCAAAGTAAAATAATTAAGAAAGTTTCAATCATAACTTCATATAACTAAAAGAAAAAAAAAACATTTAAAATAAAATAGTTTTAACATTTATTCAGTTTAATACAGAAATTTAATAAAAATCCTTCACCATTTTGTCAAGAAATTTTTATCTCATTTTCTTGATTTCTATTTCATACCTCCAAACACTTAAAACCAGACTATTCTTGGATCTATTTATGAAAAAAACTTCATATAAATAATGTATGTCCTAAATATCTTAACTTTTGAGATAGAAGGTGGTAAATTTTTGAAATAATTATGTTATTAATATTAATGATTATGTTATTGTCTAAACAATTTTTTTTTGATCAGAGTCTATATAAAATAGCATTTTCCCCTTTTTTGTTTTATTTTCCATTAATTTAACAATTGCTGTTGCTTTTCTTTATAGCCTTTTCCACTGAAATCAAGCAATTTACCTCTGTTCGGAAAAAAAATTTAAAATTACACGCGCTAAAATTGAACGCAAATACAGAGGCAATTACTGCCAAACTACCGCTTCTCTGTATAACATAATATGAGATAATTCCCAATGTCTTCTTCTGAAACGTCGAGAAGTCGTATAGGTTAGTTGATGAGGTTTTCTTTTAATTTTCCTTTTAAGCGGTGGCTGCAACGATGCGGTCACGTAACACGCATCTCCTGTAGCGCCATCTCTGGCCGCCAATCTACTTAATGCCTCTAATCAGATCACCGCTTTTAAATCGATTCATTTCATTTAAGTTACTCATTAAAATTGTACTGTTTAATTTTACCAAAGAAATGTTTTATCCATAATCAAACAATATTAGATATTTTATTTGATTTATTTAAATACATTGATGATATTGGAGTATAGAATATTAAAAAAAAATAAAAAAAGTTTATGCACACAGCATCCCTGGTGGGGATCGAACCCACGACCTTTGGATTAGAAGTCCAACGCGCTATCCTCTGCGCTACAGGGACGTATGGAAAACATATTCGGTTCCATCAAGACTTGTGACATGACATTGTTACATTCAAATAAAAAGAAATTACAAATTTTTATATACAAATAACTGACTAAACGATATACGGGATTAGCGCAATATACTATTAACCATCGTATTATCCTTTGAAAACATTCAATTCTAATGTATTTAAAAGTTATCGTGAATAAAAAAAAAATAAAAAAGATAAGAAAGTTTTTTATAACCTCGTAAAAATCGGTTATGCTCTAAAGAAAACCTCATCAGAAAAGACTGTTAATGTATGTGGTATGTAGTACCACCCACATAGACTGATTTTGTACTCCCTTAGACCATCATAGACCTAGATACTTTATTATAAGAAAATTGTGTAGCCAACATAAATCTGACTTCGTCAAATCAGCAGTGCAAAAAATTGTAGTGACTGGAATTGGAATCTTTAAAACAGTCCGAGTAGACATCTGAAGAACCCCTGTATAGTACCCTGTATAGTACTATATATAATATGTATTGTATAGTATTATATTATTATAAAGTGACAGACACAATTATTGTTACTGTTGTTCAGCCTGAGATTTTATTTCATTTATTTAATGTCTACCACACTCAAACGTATTTTTTCTTTTTGTATCCTCTACACAATTTTTTCCTCTGTGGTGAACAAAGAAGGGGCTCCGTTCCCCGATTGAGTAGGTGGTACCGTGGTCAACTACCGCTCCGGCCAGCCCGGAGCGACGAAAACCGCGGCTCCCTGTACTTAACCTCTTTATTTTCTCGTTTTTCGGTACCACCGACGCCGCCGCAGCCTCCCAAAACGACCGACCGCTGTCGTTTTCGCCAGTACTACCTCTATATATCCCGAGAAAAATCTATAGAATTTATATAGGATGTACTTTTAAAAAATGCAGCTATTTACGTTAAATAATGGTACTGTTTCGACATTTTTATAGTCTACAAGTCTTTAAAAAAATATACGTTATTTTAAGAGGGTACTTTATGGTGGTACTATAGTGTGGTACCAACAAAAACTCCCCAATTTCACTCGACTTTCTGATTATATTTGGTTCTGTGCCCGCGGCCAACATCGCGATGCTACTTCAAAAATTATCGGCCACCGCACAATAAAAGAAGCGGCGCGTAGGTACCCGCAACCGACTTATTTATCGGTACCGGTACCCACCGTGGGTACCAATACAACATATCGACGTGCGTACCGTAAATTTTTATCTCCGTCGTTTTCTTTTTCTTGTTCCTTCAGAAATCGCGACGGAATTTTATGTAGGTTAGTAAAGGCCCGTCAAGTTTTTTGACGGAATTTTAATTGCGTTAACGTATAATTCCGCAGGGTAGTAACGGTAGACACGGACAAAATTTTACTTTTTTCGTAAAATCAAAGGTTTTGTTTATACAGGGTGTTTCAAAAAAACATGTGACATCTCTCGTGTGACGTCTCTTTTTAATTCTCTTTCGCTCTGTCTTTCGTGTCGATTGCTGATTGAATAGGAGCCAGAAATGGCTCAAAACGAAATAAGTAAATTACCAACAGATATTCAGGCTGAGGCGACAAACGCAACAAGCCAATAGAATGTGGAGTACCACAAGGCTCAGTACTAGGCCCTATTTTGTTTCTTCTTTTTATTAACGACATTGCTAACATAAACATCAGTGGCAAAATATGTCTTTTTGCCGACGACACTATAGCTTTACTTGGAGCAACAAGGACGTCACGGCACTTCATAGGATTATATCAAATGACTTAATCACCATTAAATCTTGGTGCGATTCGAACCTCCTGAGTCTCAACATTT